CGCGGCTGCCGCAGCTGACGAGGCCGGGCGCGCCGCGGCGGCCGTGGCCATCCAGCGGCACGTGCGCGGCGCGCGGGGCCGGGCGGCGGCGGCGGCGCTGCGCCGCCAGCGCGCCACGCTGCGCGCCGCGCTGGAGGCACGCGAGGCGCTGGCCGAGCGCTGCGCCGCGCTGGAGGCCGGCTCGGCGCAGGCGCGCGCGGAGCTGAGTTCCGCGCGAGGCGCGGCGGCCGCGAGCGATGCGCGCGCCGCGCAGCTGGCCTCGGAGCTGGAGGCCGCGCGCGCGGACGCGGCCGCGGCCGTGGCTGCCGCGGCGGCTAGCGGCGCAGAAGGCGCGGCGGCCGAGGCGGAGGCGGTGCGTGCGAGCGCCGCAGAGGCCGCCGCCGCGCACGAGCGCGCGCGGGCCGCCGCGGCGGCCGAGCTGGAGCTGGCGCGGCGCCGGGCGGTGGAGGCGGAGGAGGTCGCGACACGCGCGCGCTCCGAAGCGGCGGCCGCCGAGGCGCGGTCGGTCGCCGCGCTGGCGGCCGCCGCGGCCGCCGCGGCCGAGGCCGAGAAACGGCTGGAGGCCGAGCTGGTGGTCGCCCAGGAGGCGCGCCAGGTGCGGGCGTGGATGGGATGGTTGGGGGTACGGTTGCATCGTGGGGCCTTGCAGGCAGAGGGGTGCGTGGACGTTATCCGTGCCGATCTTCGCATGGCTCGCCGACAGATGGAGCACTTGCAGATCTACCCCCAAACTCAGCAACCCCCCCTTTTTGGTCATCCCCAGGAGGCGGCGCGGCTGCGGCAGGAGCTGGCGGCGCGGGACGCCGAGCTGGCGGCGGTCAAGGAGAGCGAGGCATTGGCGTACACACAGCACGCCGCCAAGCTGGCCTCTCTGCAGAAGGCCATGAACGAATACGTGAGGCGGCCGGCGGGGGGAAGGGAGGAGGGGGAGTGGAGAAGAACGGATGGGTTGAGTGCCGCACGTAGGTCGCTATTCAAGGTTGATCAGAATTCCTAGGAATGCCGGCGGGGCAACAACATATACCTGGCACCCATCCATGAGATCCTCCCTGCCCTGCACACGCTTGTCTCCGCCCAGCACCCCCGTTTTCCCCCTTTCCAGGCCGCCACGGCGGTGTCTGAGGCGGAGGAGCGCGCCGCGGACGCGGAGGCTCGCCTGTCACGGCAGGAGGAGGAGCTGCGCGAGGCGGCGGAGGGTGCCGACCACCTCTCCGGCCGCGTCGTTGCGCTCGGCGGCCGCGTGGCCAAGCTGGAGGCGGAGCTGGCGGCCGCCGCGCAGCGCGAGGCGGGCCTGCGCGCCAACCTGGAGGCCGCGGCGCGCGCGGCCGAGGAGCGACGTGCGGCGGATGCCGAGGTGCCCGAATCGCCGCAGCGCGACGGTGGGGCCCTGGACGGAGCTGCGTCCGCGGCCGTCGCTACAGCGACACCGGCAGCGACGGAGCCGTCGCCGCGCGACGCGCCGGTGTTGGACGCCGCCGCCGCCGCCAGCCTGTCCACTCTGCTCTCGGCGGCGGTGCGCCAGCGCCTGCCGGCGGTGCGCGTCGCGCTGGGCCCCTCGCGCAAGGACCCCGCGCTGGGCGTCCCGCTGGCCGCCTGGCTGGTGTCGGAGAGCCTCATCGTCTGGGCGGGGGGTTGGGCGCCGCAGCAGCTAGGCCTGGCGGCCGAGGCGGTGCAGGGCACCATCCTGACCACCGCCGCCGCCGGCGGTCTCACAGCGCAGGTGTGTGTGATGGTGGTATTGCTTGAGGGGGGGAAATGTGGGTGGTGGAGGAAAGGCGGAGGAGGAGGGGGTCTGTCAGCGTGCGTGTGACTGCCGGATGGCGGCGCGGCGTGGGGTGTGGCGGAGTCCAGGGCAAGGCTGGCGTCGTGCTCCTGTTGGAAGCCCCACGTGTTAGCAGTGCTGGGACCCTCATCTATTCGTCATGATATAGTGACGCCCGCTGATTGTGCCTCCACACCACCACCCACCCCCCCGCTCGACCTGCCCCCTGGAAGCACCAAAACATACCACCTCATCCCCCCCCCCAGGCCTACTGGCTGGCGTCCACGCTGGCCATCGGCGCGCTGCTCAAGATGCGGACCATCGGAAGAAAGGAGGGCGCGCTGCTGCTGCGCCTGGGCGACGAGCTCATCGGCTTTGGTGCGCTGCACGAGTGCCTGGCGGGGGCGATTGCCGACACCCTGCCCGTCACCGTCGGGGTGAGGAAAGGGGGAAGGGGATGTGGGGTGAGGTTTTACTGGGTTTCTGTGTTGAAGGGGCCCTGGCTTCGGAGGGACCAGCACCGCCAGTAACACTCGCGCACGTCCCGACCTCGTCAGCCCCTCGCCCAGCCCTGCCGCCCAGCCCCGGCCGTACGGCCTCGTGTGCCTCCGCCCATTTCTCCCCCCCCCCCACACGACCCCACCCGGTCCCCCGCCCGCCCCACCTGCACAGGTGCTGCTGTCGGACCAGGCCAAGCGGTCGGCGCGGCGGCGCGGCCCCGCGCCCAACGGCTCGCCGGCCGTGACACCGCCCCCCGGCTCCCCCGGCTGGTCCCCCGGCGCCGGCGCTCAGTCCTGGCAGGCGCTGCTGGGCGCGCTGACCAATGTGGTGGAGACGCTGCGCGGCGAGGGGGTGCCCCCCCCCCGCGGTCCGTGCGCTGGCCGCCGCCTGCCTGCGCTTCGTGGACGCGGAGCTGCTCAATGCCCTGCTCCTGCGCCGCGACTGCTGCTCGGTCTCCGCGGCGCGCGTGCTCCTGGCCGGCCTGGCCGAGCTGCGCGGCTGGGCGGCCTACCTGGGGCCAGAATGGTGTCCGGGGCGTGAGACCGCGGCCGCGGCGCTCGAGCGCGTCGCCCAGGCGGCGCGCTACCTCGTCCAGGCACGGGCGCTGGGTGTTGAGGTTATGGTTTGGGGGGGGTCCGGGGATCTTGGTACCAGATGGAGGGAGGCTGGGTCTGAGCGGTGGCACCAGATTCCACGGTGCCTCGCATGGATTTGATCCTGAGATCTAGACACAGCTGTTGCTTCCCCACCACGCACGCAGCCCTGATCCCCCGAAGCACCCCCTCTCTGACCCTCATAACACGCAAACAGACACAGAAACTGCCCCCCACACGACACCACCAAGCAGGGCAAGGATGACTGCGTGCGCAAGGCGCACCGCGGCGTGCCCATCCTGGCCGACCTGGGCCGCCTCTGCCCCAGCCTGACCCTGCAGCAGGTGTACCGCCTGACGGAGCACCAGCACGACGACTGGATTGCGGGGGCGGGGCTGGGCTCGCAAAACATGGTGCTGCTGGAGACGCTGCAGCGCCTCATGGCCTCCCAGCCCTCCATGGCAGGTGAGGAAGGGGGTGGGTGGGTGGGGGGGGGATGGGGAAAGAGGGGGAAATGTTGGAGGAAACGGTGCAGGGGCAGGCGTGTGGCAGGAGTGGTGGGAGCAGACGACCTGAAAAGAAGATGGCAGATGATCTGGGTGGTGTGGGGATGTGGCGTGAGGTTCAGGGGTATGACTTAGGCAAAGGCTGGCTGGGCGCTTGCAGGCGCCCGAGGCCCCAAGCAGTCACCAAGGAAGCCATGTGTGTGCAATGGCAGATCCCAATACTTTCCTGTCGTCGCTGACGAGAGTCACGTAACAAGTGGTCCCACCCTCCATCCTTTCTGCAGACGGCGATTCCGGCGCCGAGTGGGACAGGGAGGATGAGGAGGAAAACCTGCTGGTGAGTTTCTCTTGTGTTTTTCTGGTGATGGGCCTGGGAAATGGCCGGCAGAGCCTACCGTCTATGCCTGTAGTCAGATTGATAGCTGCTGCATGGTCAACCCCAGCGTGCAAGACGCGGGCGCATGCTCTGGGTGGTCTTGTGTTCCCGGCCACTAGCGTGAGCGACCGCTCCCTGGTCCCACCCCCTTCCTCGTCATCCTGCACCCCCGCCCCTGTGCCCCTCCGCGACAGGTGGAGCCAATGGAGGCCTTCCAGCTGCCGCGCCGCGCCCTCACGGAGGCGGCGCGCTGCTTCGTGCAGGCGGCGCAGCGCCCCGACTCCGTCCTGGGTGAGGGCGAGGTGGAACGGGAGAGGAGCGCCATGGGTCTGGGGCATGCCATGTGCCTCCTGATCTCCACCCGGCCTGGAAGGGTGGGGCGCATGTGCCTGGGCACATTCGCTGAGCCTTGTCCCTCTCTCCCAATCAGCAATCCGTGTCCCGGCCCAGGAGCCAGCCCCCCTTCTTCCCCACGCAGATGCGCCGGTGCCCTCTGGGCCAGCCCTGCTGGACCTCATAGACCAGGCGTGCCGGGAGAGCGATGGGCTGCCGCAGGTGCTGAGGAGCAGCGCGGAATTCCCCTTCCTCCAGTCGCGGTGAAGCGAGCTGGGGCCGCGGCACAGAATCGGATGGGGGCTTTCAGACGGGCTGAGCCCAATGGATGCCCCTCCCACTCCAACACCCCAGACACTGTCACAGTGTCACCGACGCGACAGCACGCATTTGTCCCTCCCACATGATGCAGGATCGATTGTTTCCTTTTCCTCTGTTACACTGCTCCATCAGGATTTGGGGGATTGGACAGGTGTCCCATGGGACCCGCCGAGAAGCTGACATCAGCTCGCATTCCTCGGGGACACCAGGGGGCGCGAGCCTGTTACGGGTCCCAAGGGCTCGCGGAGGGCGAGGGGCACGAGGCGATGACGTGAAGGTGTTGTGGGAAATGCTAGAGTTGGAGCATGGTTGCGTGAGCCCTCGACGCGTTCTCCGTGTCGGAGTTGACCCCGCAATCGACCACTTTGTAGATCGAGTTGACCCCGGACCCGACGCTCACGCCACCGTCCCGGTGAAACACTGGGCGTGTCGCGGGCGGAACCCAGACCCTGCCGGAGTGAGGAACTATGGCGACTCTTCTCAGACGACTTTCCGTGAGCTTGGACAGACGAACGTCCAGGGAGGCGGACTTGGCCGGTACTCCCGCCGCGGCCGGCGGAATGGCGAGCAGCCCCTCCTTCAACGACTTCTCCCTTCATGTCGGCCAAGACAGTGAGTAGATCATCATGCTTGATACAGTCTCAGGGACGCGGAGCGACATGCGCACGCGCCGATGGATGGGAGAAATCACGCTGACGAGGCATTCTCCGTCACCTCGGCACCGACGCAGTGGATCACCCGATCGAGCACAGCGTGGAGCGCCCCCTGCACCGGCCTGCGGTGGATGCGAGGAGCACATTCGCCTCGTCTGCTGGGCAGAATCCGGGAGGTGGGGCCGTGGCTAGGGTTGTGCCAGCGGGGTGTCGGGGGAGGGCATGGGTACTGGAGATCCTGCTCCCAGACATCCCAGGGTGGACATGTCGTGCATGGCAGGCATTTGCTGGGACCCGATCGCCATAATTATGACGCACACACTCACACACACCGCTCCTCTTCATCCGCTGCAGGCGCTGTGACCAACTTCCCGCTGCTCCTCTCGAGGGCCTCCCCTTTGAGGATCCCACGCAGCACGGCTGCCTATGGGCTGGGAAAGTCGGAGGCAGGGATCCCTCCCTCTCCAGGGGGTGCCTCCCTGTCCACCCCCCGGGAGTCCATGGAGACCAGCGTTCCAGGCACGCCATCCTCGCCGCGAACCCCTGGAGGACGGCGCAGGTGGGCTGGCGTGGTTGCTAAAGGCGGGGGTGGGACAATGGGGCCTCCTCAGATGCTCCCAAGACTTTGTACAGGCGGAGGGTCTTGTTCGCTGAAGGGATGGGAGTGAGGTTGGTAGTCGGGGAGTATGCCCCATGGGGCATCGCGTCTCAGATTTCCCCTTGTCCTCTGCGCCGTGCAGGTCCCCCAAAATCGATGGCCTGGACTACTATGAGTTCTGCGAGCTTATCCGCTCCAGCAGCATGTAGGGGTCCTTCCTCCACCCCTCCTCAAGCCTGTCACGCCATGCCCCCCAAGAGACCGGGCCCCATGCCGAGCACTGTCCACATTCTTGAAATTTTCGGCCCAAGTCCCCGCCTGTGTGGGGCTGCCCCCCCTGTAGATTCATCGTCCGGAGGAGGCGCGCGCGCAGTCGTTGCACTTGTGCGCGCATTCTTTCCATTTTTAGATCGCCACGCCCCTGATGCCCTCTGTCCCCTGGCTGGACCCCCCTTCTTGCGGCGGTGCGTTCCCCATCGCCGTACCTTTCCCTGCTGGGCGTCCTGCGGCCCTCTGGCGGCGACCAAGCTTGGAACGTGGTGCCCATGTGTGCCGGCACCGCGCTTGCCTTCCCTGGCTCCCACCAGCGCGACCCTGTACTGTGGCTGGAGACAGGAGAGAAGGGTTGGCGACCCCACGTTTTTGTGCAGCCCTGGATCAGGAGAGTAGCTGCATCGGCGAGAAGCTGATGCTCCTCCATTGGACCCCTGGGATTGCACCCTCTGTCCCCAGCTGTACACGTCTTGTGAGTCTGAACATTTGTGTCTTCTTCATTCACACCCTTTATTACCTTTACCTTCCCTCCACCCCCCATTTCTTCCACGACACTCCATCGGGTGGGAGGGAGGCTCCCACGGCCACAGGCCCTTCGCCCTTGTCACCCCCTGTGTGCATATGCTTTCACGCATGTAATAAAGGCACATACAGCGGCTTTGTGGGTTTGGTGGGGGGGCAACCCACGGTGGGTGCGATCACTTCAAGGGGCTGCGGGAGCAAGGCATGTCGCCTGCGGGCTCGGAACCAACATCATCAAGCGGGGGGGATGGGGCCTGTGCTCCCACCGGATGCATCCACCTCTTAATCTCTGCTGGCGCTAATTCTCCGGCCATGTCTACAGGGAGTCTGTGTGACACCGGCACTCGACAGAGCATGACGGGGCACTGGCTGTAAGTTCCTGCTCTGCACCGCCATCGGTCCTCCCCAGCTTCTCAGCCCAGGCGGTGTATGGAGGCCAGATCCTGGTGGCCGCCACTGCCCGAGCAGGCAGCCTCCAGCCCATGCCACCACCCCGGCAGGAAGTGGGTGGCGATGATCCTGAACCAGGGGGACCATCGCAGGCCGGAGGCGGGGTCCATCATCTCTGCCAGCTCGGCCTGCGTGACATACCTCGTGTCCTGCAGGGAGGGTTGTGCGGTCGCGGTCGGGATGGCGCGAGGCAAGGACCTTCCAGCACCCGAGTCATTGACCCTGCATTCTGGCCCGAGCAGAATTGCAAGACTCTGTTGGACGAGGCGAGACACTCCCCCTCAGCCTCTTGAGCTGGTGCGCACGCCATCCCGTCCCCCGCTTGATCAACATCAGCGCAACCATGGCAGCTCACCATGACCTCTTCGGGGTTGGGCTTCAGGTCAACCTGCGCGCGAATGAAGAGGATGTAGTCCATCTCCTGCTCGCCCCAGCCGGTGGGCTTGCCCGACACATCTGCACCACAAGTGACAGTGGGGCAAGGGTTGGTGAGAGGCCCCGAAATGGGGGTAGAAGGCTCCATCCCAGACTCCCTCAGCATTCCCTGCTCAGGCAAGCAGGTGCACGGGCCAACGGTGCATGCGGTGGGGGCGAGGGTCGGGGCCCATGCCTCGCAGACCTGTGTCCCCTGCGCAGTAGTGCAGGCGGGTGAGGTACTGCAGCCTGTCCAGCGGTATCTGATGCGGGGGGATGCCCAGCTCGTGCTCTAGCTTCCGCCTGGCGGCACGCTTGGTGCCTGGAACCTGCCCAGAAGCTACATCCTTGGGCGTGTCCACCTCTGTCCGCACGGGGGATGGGACTGGGGATTGTGCCGCGGCGTGGTGCATGCGGAGGAGGAAGCTGAGACGTGCCACGCAACAGCTGCACCGTGGCATTCATCTTGCAGGTCAAGGGGGTTCCAGCCACAGTGGCCCTTTCAAGATTCAGCTCGCAGGCCTCACCACCCCGCCCAGCTCACCCGTGGGGCTGTAGCCGTGGAGCGGGTGGCTGCAGCACGTATTGGTCCAGACCTCCGGGAAGGTGATCTTGGAGGCGGCACGCTGCTGCAGGAGCAGCCGGTCCTGGTCGTCAAAGAGGAAGACGGAGAAGGCGCGGTGCAGCAGGCCATGGGGCTGCCCATCCACGAATCTGGGGATAAATGTTCAGGAGTACGAGCTTCATGAGCGGTTGGTATGGTATCTAGATCTCATGTCAAGAGGAGGGAGGGGTGATTTATAACATCCAATGGCACATCGAGAGGTCTGAAGCAAACAGGAGCATGGCCTGACCATCCCGTCACATGTGCACAAGCAGGACCCTACCCCATGACCACCATGTCGCAGCACAGACCTGTGGGAGTCATACTTGCTGGCATGCCCTGTCACAGCATCAGACTCGTCCACCAGGATGCATTCATCCTTGATCATGAGCTCATCCTGGGATGCATTGCCTGTTGCAATCAGGGCTGAGAGAGGACTATGAGGGGTTGGATGATCCGGCAAGCCCCATGCACACCTCTTCATGGAGACAAGTGGCAAGCAAGACCACCACCCAAGCATCGCAGACAGTCTGAGGGAATGCTTCCCTAACTCCACCAACTTCTTCACAGCCCAAAGGCCACACCTGTCCAGGAGGCAAAGCTCTGCCGACTTGCGGTCTGTAGGGCTTCACAACTCGATCGCCAGTGCCGGAACCCAGCGTTGGGGTAGAATGGAACGATCTTGTGGCCCCGTAGTGGATTGCATCCGAGGGAGCGAAGCATGGTCGCCCGAGGCGAGGGAATGCTGCTGCCAGAAGAGGGGTTGTCGTCAAAACAGCACGTTATTGGAGGTGGAGGACAGCATGCTGGGACCAAAGCTGGTACAACGTGTTCACCATGCTAGATTGGAGGAGCTCTGGACTGGGAGCACGCACCTTCTCGTCGCCAGGGTGGAGCCTGATGTGTTTCGGAAGCGGACGCTCTGCAGCAAGGCGCCAGATTGAATTAGGGCGCGAGGACGCCCAAAGTGGCATACGAGATTTCCTGCCCCTTTATGGTCTTACTTTAAAACCCAGTATAAGGCCCTGAGCGGGCCAGTCAATAAACAGCCTATTCGGAATGGCGAGGGTCATGTGCTACACCGGAACCAAGGGTGTATGTATGTGCGCCTAGCCAGGTGCAATGATTCCTCAGTCTTCCGGCCACGCGTCCGCACTCAGTGCGGTGGGCATGATGGGTGCCCGCAGCTGACGCCGAAGCCGGAGCCTGAGAAAGCCACGATACAGACAGGAATCTGCTCAAGGATCTGGGACCATGCGAATCGAGAGACTGGGCAAAACGACTTTGTGAGCGAGTGCTCTGCTTGACTCGAAGCGTCCTGTTGCCCTGTGTAGCCGAGCGCCAGTTCGCAAGTCATAAAGTGCAGGAGCTGGCGGATCATAAATAGATAAAAGCAGGAGTATGAAGTAATGGACGTTGTTCCAAACTATAATCCCTAGCAAGGCATTTGTGATGCGCTACTTGTGGTGATCCAAGGGGTAGACTAAGACTCCATCCCCATGCTGTACGGCTGCACAGCCAGGATGCAGAACTTCCCAAGTACGTCCTTCATGCTTGTACTTGCAGATTCGGTGATTTAGGTCCAGTTCTCGATTGAGTACGGCCGTTCAAAGATGGAGTATTAAATCTCGGCTTTGGAAACACCCTGCTGCTGCCGGAATGAAATGCTGCTCCACCCGCAACCTCGTCCGAACGATTTAGCCACGGCCGAGACGGCGCTCATACATTTCAATTACGGTAGACTGTTGGAAGTAGCTAGATACTTCCGATGACATCGCCGTGCATGTAGACCACCCCGCCGAGATTATTCCTTGCGCTCGTCACTGGACCGGGAAGTGGGGGTGGCCAGGTCCATGACCCAGCCATGCGCTGCAAATCTGCCCATCGACGTCCTCGAGATCGTCTTTGCCCGAACTTTTGATAGCCGAGGACGGGAGCTGCATGCGGCAGATGCCCTTCGCCTGTGGGGCACATTGCTCCTGGTGTGCCGACGGTGGAAGGAGGTGGGCAAAGGGAGGGAGGGGTGCAAGGGGAGCTCTCGCGCAGACCTGGCCAGCAGTGGAACTCCCTTACATCCACAACTGTGAGTCAAAGCCCCCCTTGCTCTGCTTCAGGCCCTCTCCAGGACCCGGCTAGAGCTGAGGCTGGCCGTGGTAGACAGCGCCGATGCCGGCACCCTCCTGCACCAGTGGCTGCATCGATTGGAGCTGGTGGGGCTGTGCATCAACTCAAGAAGCATGCCTGGCAACCACATCCTCATGGACGCATGCTCAACCCACGACGTCTGGGTATTGAATGAACACCTCATTCAGCAGCCTGCCCTGCAACACCTGCAGGCATGCAGCCAACAGGGGAAGCCAGCGACTGCCTATGGGAATCGGGGTGGACCCATGCCTTGCTCACATTCACCATTTGTTTGGCAAGCTTCCTCCGCCCATGCTCTGGCAGGGTAGCATGACTCTCCCAGGAGATGCGGTGCCTGGACTTTGACCGGTGCCAGCTGCCCCAGCCGTGCAAAACAGCCTCCTTTCCCTTTCCTCCCTTACTGAACCCAGGACTTGGAGCTGATCCTTCCAGAAACTTCAGTGGTGCAGCACCGGGTGTCGCACCTGCTGCGCTTGCCCCGCCTTACCAGTCTGCGCCTGCACAATATCCACGGGCTGCACCTGGTCGACTGCTGCCCCACGCTACAGCATCTGGAAGTCCGCATGCCGCACTATTATCCCATGCCCGCGCCTGCGTCCTGGCGGCTTGAGTCTGGCACATATGCAGAGGTTGGCTCGTTCCCCCACTCGTTCTCCATGTACAAGCAGCCTGGGTACGTGTCCGTGGGCGCAATGGCCAATGCGGGCCACGCCCCTCCTTTGTCAGGGCTGCATTGAGTGTGCGAGCGCCTGGCGGCCTCTTGCACATGCACTTTCATCCCAACCCCGTTTTCCACCTGGCGTTTTCCCCTTCCCACCTCTTCACACCCATCTCTCCAACATGGCGACCAGCCTGCGGACCTTCAGGCTGCATGTGGAAGGTGACCTGGCGCTGCAGCTGGGGCAGCTGACCCATGTGTGCGAGGACGTCAGCGTGGAGGCCACAACCATCCTGCTGGGCGTCGAACAGGCAGAGGGTGAGAGGGGTGAATCTGGCAGGGAACTCCACACCTGCATGGGCACAAGGGTTGCGTCGTGGGCAGGCTGCGGCTCTGGCAGGCTGTTGCTCACTCACATCCCTTGCTGCTGCTAAATGAGAATCAAGGGTGCCGGGGGCAAAGGGAATGCCGTGGAACCTCTCTTGATCACACCGCCGTACTGCTGATGACCCAGGCTCGCCCCTTGTGGACCTGTTCAGTTGGCCCTATGAGGAGGGGGACTTTGGTGAGTGGGTGCTTGCAGTAGACATGCTTGCACCAAACAAGTATGGATTCCTGACCCCCAGATGCCCACGATTTTGGTCCCCCCGCTCCCTCGCAGTGCCTCCCCACATCTGGGGAGATCCCGCTGCACTGGAGGCCAGCCATAGGGCCTGTGAGGAAGCCTGTGACCAGATGATCCAGAGGCTGGGTCAACAGGGCCCCGATTTGAAGGTAGTGTATCTTCTGGGTGAGGTTCCAGGCCCACTGTGGTGCTACCTGGGTGTTTAGGTGTGAAGACGTCGATGCCATTGTGGTCAGGCGGCGCTGCCTGCATCGAGGACCATGATGGGAGTGCATGCCTCCTTGCTCGTTTTTGAAGAACATTGGCTGGATTGCTCATCGTCTCACACTCCTCAGTTCGGTAAAGGGTGCCCTGCGCCACCATCTCCCCTTGACAATGTTCCTCACTTTCCGCCTTGCACTCGCAGACCCTTCGCCTGGCCTCTGACGTCTCCCTCAAGATCATCCCTGCCAGCGAGAGCCTGGAGAGCTTCGAGGCCTACATGGCAAAGATGTACCCCGTATTCCTGGGGGCCCTGCCCATCATGTACGGGTTCCAGGCGCAGGGCCTGGAGGATAAGTGGAGCATCCTGTGTGGCTGTTCTGCGCCGGGGTCGCAGGAGGCGGCCGAGCTGGCCCGGCTTACCTTCGTTGCCCGGGGCCGAAACGATGTGGGGATCACCATTGGTGCTCTGTCCGATCAATCTGAAGATTGATCACCAAGACAGTCCCTTGCCTTGCTGTGACCCTTGCATCCCTGAAACTGGCCTGGTTTGTTGTCACTGTACTGGTCCTGCACGAAGGAGAATGCTCCTGACTTGCACAGTAGATCAGAGAAGAATCACTCGAGGAAATTTTACGTCAGAGCTGAGATTGCATGCTCATCAGGGCTAATGAGGTTGGACATGGAGTCCAAGATAAGAGGAGACGAGGACAGCACAGGACGTCAGATCTCGCCACGCGCACGTCAATTAGTTCTCTCGGCCGAGGTCCCTTCAAAACACCCCAAACACCGTGGGAGGTACTCGATTCTCAAGGTCTCAAAGGTGAAACGACCTTCATCTGGCAGGCAGTGTCGATCACCTACAAATAGAATGGTGCATGCCATGGCCTTGTCCATAGGGTCTCAGGGCGGAGCGCGGCATGCGCGCCGCACTCCCGTACAGTCTCGCGTGAAGCCCTGCAGAAAACTACATCCTATCACGGCGCATGGGCACCATGGAGGGAGCGGCAGCTCCGTGCATGCGAAGCCTGTGGCAGACGGATGTGAGTGATCATGGAGAGGTGGAGCCCCCTGCGTCATTTCATGGATGCCGAGTCCCTCAATGGCGATGGTTCTGACTCCCATGCGCAATCCTGCCAACCATGCAGCCTTCCTGGGGGAGCTGAGGCAGTATGCCATGCGCCTGCACACCCGGGAGCAGGCACCTCGGGAGGGCAAGGCCGCCGCTCCCAAGCCTGACAAGCCGGTGCGCATCGGGGATCATGGGGGGCCCGTGTGGCCTGCTTGCACAGGGCATGCATGCCATGGCAGGAGCAATCGAACCCTCGGGCATCCCTGCACACTGCAGTGGGAGCCTAAGCTGGCTGGCTACATGCAGTTCATGGCAGAGTCCAAGGTCGTGTACGACACTTTTGAGGAGCTGTTGGCGGCAGGCGCACAGCCTTACTGTGAGCGTGGGTGGGCAGGGCAGACATTTTGGTGGCCTTCTCCGCTCTGTCAGGGACCTTTGTGTTGTGCTGGGATGTGGGCGCTATGCGGGTGTGTCCTTTGTTTGCAGGACCTATGGCTGCGACCCTTGGCAGACAACAGCAAGGGCGTGTGTCGATGAGTCGCAATGTCCCTGCCATCCCTGCCTTGACAGACAAGGAGTTTGCGGCGACGGGGCTTCAGCGCGGTGCAGCTATCGACCACGACCTTGCCTACCTCTCCGAGAGGTATGGCGTGCCCATTCCGGAGGCAAAGCCAGACGGCCCAGGCCACACCTACGCCAGGTGGGCGGGGACCTGGAGGGGCGGTGGGTGTGCGGCCGACTCAAACAGGAAGTGGCCACCCGTTGCCCCACCGTCTCATCGCTGAATTCCAGGGCACACCCCTCCGCATCATGCCCACAGTGAGTTGCGCGAGCTCGCAGCAAACAAGCCGGGACCCTTCCTGTGTCACTTTTACAACCACTACTTTGCGCACACGGCGGGTGGCCGAATGATAGGGAAGCAGGTTTCCCAGGTGAGCAGGAACAGTGCGGTGAACGGTGGGATGAAAGGAGGGATCAGCTTGGTGCACAATCGACATGTACTTGCCGCTTAATCTCTCGCTCTTTGCATGTCGGGGCCTGGAGACTAGATCATGGTCTTGACCAGCCGCCCCTTCCAATCATATCCCCCGCTGCAGAGGATCTTGGACGGATGGACGGGCAACTTTTACAAGTGGGACGGAAATGTCAAGGTAAGTGGGCTCAGTGAGGTGTTGTCCACGATTGGAGCTCCAGTTCAAAGGCTTTTGTGCGGTCAATTGTGCGGTGCACGAATCCAGAGACTGGGAGTGAGTCGGTGCTGCTCTCCCACTGATTATAGGACATGCTGGATGACGTGAGGGGCAAGCTGGAAAGTGTGGCACAGACGTGGTCAGATGAGGAGAAGAATGCGTGTCTGGAGGAGACGGCTGCCACCTTCAGCTGGGGTGGCAAATTGTTGAGGCTGGTGGCTGCAGACTAGGCCCCGCCGCTCCTGGCTCGTCCGAGTCAATGCTTCCCACAATGCAATTGATTTCAGAAACCTATGCACTGGGCCGTCCTTCCGAAAATGGTGCGAGACACCGTATCTCTTGGTGTGAAAATGGCACACGACAGTGCATCAGATTACAAAATTTTCCAAGGCCTAGGCCCTTGGGAAGCCAGTATTGCTTCCGTAAAGGCACAACTTGTTTCGATTTCGTCAATGGACTCGTGAGATGGTTTACATGGACGAACAGACTGCATGATGCAGCAATTTATGACAGAGAATCATTCCCCATGAGAGCGAGTCCCAGCCAAGCTAGGTGTAAGGTTCACAGGTACTGAGACAGCACTGCTCTGGCTTGCAGGGCTAGATGCATGCCTAATCTTACCAATGGAGATCTTCCTCGCACAGACGAGGATGGCTTGAGTATACAAATTGTACTTTGGGGGTCATTCACACTGTGGCTTCCATGCTGTTTACGACATTGCATGGCAGGAGATTATCGGGCGGCAGGATTTGAGCACAGGTCTCTCCAACTGCATGGTTGAGGGCCCAACCCTGGTAGGGCAGGAAAAAGGTAGAAGATGGTCAGAACCTCAAGTAATGGATGCTCCCTCACTCTTTGGCAAGTAGCCTATCAGCCAGCTGACCCAGCTGAGGGTCCGTTCGATCTTGCCCAAGAAGCTTCCCACAGTCCTGGGAGGTGCCATGGAAAGAGGGATTGAGCTTTTTCTTGAATCATGAGCAAGCTTGACAGCCCCCAGAGCAACCCACATCTCAAGCACAAGATGATCTCACCAGGTCAGGTACTTGGAGGCCCCCCAGAGGGCCAGCGGCAGGAGCAGGATGACGAACTTGTATGCCAGGCGGCCGATGGTCACGAGAAACGGGACCAGGAAGCGAAAGAAGGACTGGGCCTTTCTCGCAGTCTTCTGCCAGGGTTCATCTCCCCTCTGCAGTGGATCGGGCCCCGTGGAAGCCTTGGCTGACGACTGTTGGGTGCGTCTGCGAGGCTGGCTCATGCTGGACGGACCGGGCTGGGACTCCGGGGGAGCCACACCATTGGGACGTGTCACAGGCTCGCCATGCAGCGGCACGGGAGTTGACCTCAAATCTGACATGGTATTTAGAGAACTTTGCGCAGATCCGCGCGAGCCTGGTACCATGTATACAGGTGGTGGACATGGAGTGGTCTCTCTCCGGCAGCTGAGAGGCAGCGGTCTCGAGGATCCGGAGCTGGTGAAGGGTTTGCCCCCCTCCCCATCGAGCGCTAGTCAGCCGTGACAAGATCTCGGTAGCCTGTCTCTGTCTTAGAAAAGGTATTAGATTGTATGTTGCGTTGCAGTCAGACCCATAAGTGCTTTCAATGGCCACAACTGTTGCATTGCTTAGCCATGGGTCCCCCATGTCACAGAAGCTGGCACTCTTGACTCAAGAGGGGGCATCCTCCATATCGACGCCTATGCTTTCCTCTTGCTCCCCATCTGAAACCGCTGCTTGCTTGAACTCCCAGTGCCTTCGACAGATTGGGCATCGCTGCTCAGACTGAGAGGACAGCCACCTGCGGCATGTACTGTACAGTCTTGCAGGGAAGCTATGCACAGGCTCAAGTCCAATGCAGGAGCAATCCACCTCTACGCTGAATGGATACTCCCACATGCCGAGTCACTTGATACTCACCGATTTATGCACTGAAGGTGGAAGGCATGTGCACAGGTGCCCCAGACAACCGGCGAGTCGTCCCCTGGAAAGCGGGCTTCCGGGGGGCACCCGTCGAAGGGCATGCGGCATATTCCACACACATCGTCCCCTGTGGAATGGGAGTGTACGGGGATGGGAGGCTCCAGGGTCACCGCATGCCACCCCAGAGCATCACACTGAGGGCACCCACAGTGCACCCCATGCTGTCCTGCACCTGCATCCCACGTCCAGCTCGCCACAGCGTGCCAATGTTTAATCTTCACATCGAATGTCATGCTAGCAAGCAGCCTATGATCGGCCTTGGGCCATAGAAATAGATATACGATCGACAAGGCAGCTGGGGGGTCTGTCAGCAGTGGGGTTCTGATGGTCCTGACTTAACGTTGTGAATGGCAGTTTGGATCCCCGTTTGCCTGGTGTGTCATGTTATTGGTGCGCTTGAAGGGCGAAGGGCTGCTTCTCCTTCCCAGCAATAAACAGTCCGATCACTTTACACTGCCGGGCTCTCGGGAAACCGCGACGAGCCTCCTCCCCATCGTCGATTGATGCGGGAAAAGGGCACCCACAGAGTGAAAAGTGCATTACCTTTGTGGAAGAGGAGCGCATGCCACTTTTTACGCCCTCTGTGAAGGCGTGCAGCACCGGTGCGCCCCCCCCTTGCTGACGGAGGTGCCGGAGCACACCCGAGGCATATGAGGCTGACGCTCCATCAGAAGCTCGAGGCGGCCCACGATGACAGCGTGTGGGCGGCCCACTGGTCTCCCACAGAGAACCTACTGGCCACGGGGTCCGTGGATGAGTCCGTGAAGCTGTGGCAGGACTCCGGAGAGGGGCTGGAGCAGAAGCACCATCTGGTGAGCGGCGGAGGGGCCTTGATGGTGCATCTGGGGTTGCCGACGCCTCAGCGTGTTTCAGGATGTGTGTGTGTGTGTGTGGATGCATGCACCTTGCTGCGATTTCCTGCGTGTTGGCGCGCAGGAGCCTTTCTCCATGCGCAGTCTGGGATGCAGTGCCAGAGATCCTCATTTCATCACCAAAGAGCTCCTTGCACCTCTTCCTTGGATCCCTGCACTGCATCCTCCTCCCCCACGGAATCCTCCTCCTCGGCAGCCGTGACCCCCTGTTCAATCGACTCAACCCCACCCCCTCTCCCCCCATTCCTCAGCTGGGCCTGGAGCTGGGGGTTGTGAGCGTGGCCATCGACGGCACGGGGCAGTACGGCGCCGCCTCCAGCATGGACAGCACGATCAACGTATGGTCGCAGGCCGACTACTCCTCGGCCGCGCGCTTCAAGCTCCCCCCCGCCGAGGCCTGGTCCGTGGCCTGGCTGCCGCCTTCATCCGACGGCCGCCTGACGCTGGCTGTCGCCGGCGGCAGCTCCAACACCGTGTCGCTGCTGGACGTGTCGGCGCAGCTGGCTGGCGGCGAGGCCCCCCGCCCCGTCACCCTGCACATGCCCCCCCCGCCGGCGGCCGGCGTGGCCGGCGCCGCCCCCGCCCAGCCCTTTGTGCTCAGCGTGGCGGCCAGCCCCGACGGGCGGCTGGTCGCGGCGGGGGCCATGGACGGCGGCGTGGCGCTGTTTGACACGGCCACCGGCCGCCTGCTGTCCTCGCTGGCGGGGCACGCCAAGGCGGTGCGCGGGCTGGCCTTCACCCCGGACTCGCGCCACCTGCTCACTGCCTGCGACGACCTGCACGCCAACCTGTACGATGTCGGCCAGGCCGCGCTGGTGGAGTCCTTTGCCGCGCACGAGTCCTGGGTGCTCAGCGTGGCGGTGCACCCCGACGGCTCCGCCGCCATCACCGGCTCCAGCGACGCCAAGGTCAGGCTCTGGGACCTGAGCACGCGCACGCTGGCGCAGACGGTGGCCGACGCGCACGCCGACCAGGTCTGGTCGGTGGCCTTCCGGGGGGACGGGGCACGGGTGGCCTCTGCCTCCGACGACCACAGCGTGTGCGTGTTCGACTTCCAATGACCCCTGACCTGCGCTGTGAGGCGTGGTGATCCATGCAGAGACCTGCTTGGGGAGGGGGAAGGGGTCTCCTAGGGGTGTCATGGGGGCGCCTTGAGGTCGGGACGAGATTCACGGAAGGCGGAGTTATGGTCATGCAGGCTCCCGCGACGCGCTGCCAGGTCAAGGCACAGGCCCGTGGCCATTGAATCCTTGTATTTGTGGACCTCCATACCACGAGGCCCCCGCCCCGCAGCCTCCCGGCATGCTGGGTGCCACGCAGTTCGCAGGAGGATCACTTACCCTCCCGGCGAGGTACTGCTTCGTGCCCCAGCCCGCCCCGCGATGGCGATGCAGGGGCCCCAGGAGGACATGCACCACCGCCATACGGCACGAGGACAGGGTGTCGGGCGCTGGGCCGGATGTGGTGCACGTTGTTCCCCAGGTGGAGCCCGTGGCCAGCCCCCCGGCCCTGCCGGAGAATGAGCTGCCCCCCCTCTCCGAGTCCCTCTCCCTGGACACGGCACGTGGGAGGAATGTGGAGTGTAGCTGACCTGTGGCGCGCATGGGCCTGCAACATGTGGTTGTTAGCCATCAGCCTGGGAGCCAGACACACTCCTGAGGGGTTGGAGGCTCTCGAAGCAGCAGCATCACTCCACCACATCCACACCAGAGTATCACCATCCCTTCAATCCAGACGCCCGCTCCAGTCCCAGTGGCCGGCCCGGACGATCGGGAGCGTTGTTACCTGGTGGCGGTGGCCCGCAAGTCCTCGCCGCGGTCCCGCGCCTTCTCCGCCCCCGACTCCATCCTGGAGCTGGGGCGGCTGGCCGTCACCGCGGGGTGCCAGGTGGTGGGCCACTGTATCCAGGCGCTGGAGGAGCCCCATCCCCGCACCTACGTCGGCAGCGGGAAGCTGGCCGAGCTGGCAGCGGCCGTGGAGGGCGCGAGCGCCGACACGCTGGTCTTCGACGACGAGCTGAGCCCGGGCCAGCTGCGCAACCTGGACCGCGCCTTTGGCGGCGCGGTGCGGCTGTGCGACCGCACCGCCCTCATCCTGGACATCTTCAGCCAGCGCGCCGCGACGCGCGAGGGCCAGCTGCAGGTGAGCAGGTCTACATCAGGGGGAGACTCCCTGGGTGCGCTGCAGATCGGCAGATTGGGGGAAAGTGGCGGCGTGTCTGCCATGCTTTCAGGGGCCATCTGCCTAGGGAATTGCCCACCACCCCCCTCACATATCTTCCTCATCCTTTCCCAACCCTTGCGCGCCAGGTGGCGCTCGCCCAGGCCGAGTACCAGCTGCCGCGCCTGACGCGGATGTGGACGCACCTGGAGCGCCAGTCCGGCTCCGGCCAGGTCAAGGGCATGGGCGAGAAGCAGATAGAAGTAGACAAGCGCCTGCTGCGTGGCCGCATGGCGCGCCTGCGCTCCGACATCGAGGAGGTGCGATGGCAGCCAGTGGGAAGAGGGGTGGCTGGGGGGGATGTTGGGCGATCTTTGGCCCTGGACGAGGGACCGCCCTCCCTCTGCGTGCAGACTTCAGGCTGTGCTTATTCCTCCTCTGCGCGACGGCGTCGAAGGTGTGAACATCACCCGGGTTCGTCCCTGCTCGGCTCGTCCCCATCCCGTCGCACGCCTAACACACCCCCCTAACACCAACCACCCCCCTCCCACACATCAGGTGCGCACCCACCGCGCGGCCTACCGGGTGCGCCGTGCAGAGGCCCCCATCCCCGTCATCGCGCTGGTGGGGTACACCAACGCCGGCAAGTCCACGCTGCTCAACACCCTGACCCATGCCGGGTGCGTGTCTTTGGGGGGTTGAGTGGGGAATGGAGGTGGTTGCCAGATGGCGTCAAGGCTGGGAGGGGCGGGCCGGCCACGAGGCAGCAGCAGACGCCGCATCGCAGGGGATCGCATGGCCTCAGCGCCCTCTGCCGCCCCCCCCACACCCTCAGGGTGCTGGCAGAGGACAAGCTGTTTGCCACCCTGGACCCCACGACACGCCGGGTGGAGCTGGGCCAGGGGCAGGAGGTGCTGCTGACAGACACCGTGGGTGAGTGGGGATGGGTTTGTTCAGGGGTTGGGTGATGAGGTTGAAGGGAAGTGTCTCACGGCCCGCTCTCCCAGTTGCAACTTGGGCAGGTAGCAAATAGGGGTCAGAGAGGCTGGAGAGCACCGGTTTGCGCCATGCAGCTGTTGCTCCTCTGCAATCATCACGGGTGCCCTTGACCGCAGGCATTGCAAGAGAAGCAAGGCCCACACACGAGTATAACAAGTCCTAGCCCAATACTCTCCCCATGCTCCAACCATTCCCTCGTCAGGGTTCATCCAGAAGCTGCCCACGCAGCTGGTGGCGGCCTTCCGGGCCACGCTGGAGGAGATCGCGGAGGCCAGCCTCCTGCTGCACGTGGTGGACGTGAGCCACCCCACCGCCGCCGCCCAGGTGGAAACCGTGAACGACGTGCTGAAGGAGCTGGGAGTGGGCGGCATCCCCGTGCTGCACGTCTGGAACAAGGCGAGGCGCCATGGCGAGGGGGGGGGGCCGGATGTGCTGGGGGCGGTCTCATGTTTTGCACGGGGGAAGAGAGGGGAGCGAGGACCGCCACGTGGCGCTGGAGGCACGCTGTGATGAGGCAAAGCAGGGCGGTGGGTGGGGCTTGGACATTGGTTTTGCAGGCGTGCAGGCGCTCATTCAGGGGTGTGTGCGAGCCTGCCAAGAGAGAGACGCCCCGACCGCACCAAGGCGCCGCACCAATGCCATCCTTCCTCACCTACAATCTTCAAAAACACTGAAAAGCAGCCACTCCCCTCCTCCGCCTCGCAGGTAGACGCGTGCGCGGATCCTCACGCCGTGCGCGCTGTGGCCGCTCTGCGCCCGCACAGCGTGTGCGTGTCGGCGATGTCGGGGGAGGGCGTGGAGGACCTGCTGGAGGCAGTGTCCTACATGTTGCAGCAGAGCATGGTGGATGTGGAGGTCCTGGTGCCCTACAGCAGGGTAAGCGCTGGAGCAGGGAGGAGGGTGTGGGTGTTGTGGGAGGCATGCTGCGCTCAGGGGCGGGGCAAGGGGGCCAGGGTGCCCTCCGGGGAGGCCCGCTCCCGGCGCCCCAGGCATGCAGACGTCCCTGCCTGGGCAGGGACGCGAGCTGCGTCCCCAGAGCGGCAAGGCCCATGCCCTGCGATGCCGTGGGAGTCTTGCTTGACACCTGCTCCGCGCCGGCGGCGCTCTGCATCAACCCCCTGGTGCGACCGATTGCCGCCCTGGCTGCACCGCAGGGCGAGTTCGTGGACCTGATCCACCGCTCGGGGATGGTGCAGAGCGCGGAGTTCACCGCCACGGGTACCAGGATCAAGGCGCACGTGCCCCAGTCGCTCGCCAGGAAGCTGGCGCCCATGGCGGTGGGGGGGCAGGGCGCGGCGCCCCCCCTCCAGATCGGGCTGCAGCACCGGGACTGGGAAGGGCCATAGCATGGCCAGGGGCTGGATTTCCCGGGACATCACGGCGAATGTCTCGCCCAGGTTTCAAACCCCCCGTCCATGCACACTTCTGTCACTTTTTGAGAGGGTCCCGAGCAACGAGATTCAGCGCGCGCGCGCAATCAAGCGTTCGATCTCGGGCAGTCCTGGGGCAAGATCAGGTGTCTTTGTCTGACCTCCGCATCGTCTGCACGGGTGATCGGCGGGTGTCAATCGCTTGAAACCAGCCATCCAGCGAGGCCATGTCGCCAGGAGGCCCTTCCTAGAAGCCCCCGGTACCCATGCAGGCCTGCCTGGTCGGGCCCTGCGCTCTCGGGCCTAGATTACAAGGAGGCGCCTTTGCAAGCAGCCATCGCGCACATGGATTTGTAATCCATGCCCGCCCCTTCCAGACCCTGACGAGGGGTGTACAGCTGGTGACGAGGGCATCAGCCTCGGCCGGTACCCCTCCCGACGCCCGACGCCTGCCCAGCCCTGAGGAGATGAAGCAGCGGGTGTCGGAGCGCATCGAGCAACTCAACAACAGGTTTAGGCCGCCAAAGTACCTGTGGAGATCTTTTGCAGCCCTGGTCATCGCTGGCCAGAGCATCTTCCGCATCTTTCAAGGTCTGTCGGTGGCGTGGTGGCGTGTGGTGGCGCTATCCATGTGACAAGGTGCAGGGGCCGGAATGGGATCTTTCCGCCAGTCACACATGTGCCCCGACAAACCTACACCAGGCAAAATACACTGGCGGAACACCCTGGAGCAATTGAACCTGGTTGGGCCCCGGTCTCTGGGGGTGTGCCTCCTCACCTCCTTCTTCCTGGGCATGGTGTTTACCATCCAGTTCATCAGGTAAACAAAGAGATGGTACTGTTGGGTCTAATCTTTATAGCGGGTTCTGCAGGCTGGGGGCGGCGGCCAAAAGTGTTTCCTACAGGCGCAGCCTCGATGCTCGAGCCCCTCAACCCCCCACTTGCCTCTCTGCAGGGAGTTCACGAAGCTGGGCCTGACGAGGACGGTGGGTGGTGTGCTGGCGCTCGCACTCGCGCGGGAATTGACCCCGGTCGTCACCTCCATCATCGTGGCGGGGCGGGTTGGCAGCGCCTTTGCCGCCGAGCTCGGGACCATGCAGGTCTCGGAGCAGACTGACTCTCTGAGGTGGGTACCCTGGGCTGCATGCCTGATACTGTTGGGGGCTTAGGAAGGCACTGCCTCTTGGGGGGAAGAGGAGCTTGCAACTACTCTGGTGGGCAAAGGAAGCATGCTTCTTGGAGGGGGCCACCAAGTTCTAAGTAGAGGAGGGGGAACGCACGCACTGCGTTTGTCGGAATGATCCCTATGCCTTGCAGATCAAACAAGAGACTCCCCACTCAGCATCGCCGGCCGTCAACCTGCCCCCTCCACCACAACATGCAGGGTGTTGGGGAGCGATCCCATTGACTACCTCATTACCCCACGCATCCTGGCCTGCATGATAGCCACCCCCCTACTCAACATCATGTGCTTCTGCATGGGTATGTCGCGGAAGATGGGGGGGGGTGGGAAAGGGTTGGAGAGGGAGGGTGTGCTGCTGTTCTTGATGAAGAGGATTTGAGGACAGAAGCTTGTACTCCAGGGGCGCCCCGAGCACATCTGTTGCATGCATGTCCAGAGCTACTCTGTGCCTGCAAAGCTCTTCTGCCCACCCTTTCACAGTTTGGTGCCCTGCGACCACCCAATCATACAGGTATGGCGGCCAGCATGCTGCTGGCAGAGGCGGCCTACAGCGTCTCGGCCAATGTGATCCTGGACTCTGCGATGCGCAGCATCTCTAGCTGGGACATCCTGTCTTCCATCCTCAAATGCTGGGTTTTTGGGACCATCATCTCCTCGGTGAGTAGACTGCAGAGCGGATTGCAGTACGGGAGTTGGGGCTGTGGAGTGAGGCTGGCAGCCAGGCTCACATGTGGGCCCAACGTGGTAAGGGACTGAATTACCGACAGAACATCATAGAAATCCCTGCTGGTCCCTTGCAAACTCAGCAATCAGATGATAATGCAATTGCCAATGATATGCATCCCGCTTCCTCTCTTTTGCGTCATCTACAGGTCAGCTGCTCGTGGGGATATACCACCACGGGAGGAGCCAAGGGCGTTGGGGAGTCCACCACCTCAGCCGTCGTCATCTCGCTGGTGCTCATCTTCATCGCCGACTTTGCGCTGTCCTTCCTCTTCTTCCAGGGGCAGGGCGACGCTCTGCGCTCACTTGCCTGAGGCTCCTGGTTGCTGGCCTTCGAGTGCTGTGGGGTGATTAGCAATCACGCACAAACTGATAGACAGCTGAAGACAGAGATTCCTGCAGTGTGCTATGCAAAGAGGAGGCTCTCCAAGAGACATCTGGTGATGCTTGCTCCTGTGAGGGTCCTCTCGCGGCGCAGAGCATGCGGCATGCTGCCCCACCTCATTGACTGGCTTCCGCCCAGATTTCAAGTCCGACATGGACCCATGCGATCCGGGGTCGTCCGACGAAGACGCATGCAAAATGGTCGCCACTATGAGAGACAGCCATTATGACTACCATCGCTTCATGACGGGGCGCTGTGCTCTCGTGCATTGCAGTTTGACGTGCACATTCCCCATGCCGGTCGGCCAAAGCATCCGCACGAGCCCTCCATGTGTAGGTCCTCATGGGGCGTCCCTCTCCCACTCCTTCGGAATTCGCCAAGGCCTTCCTGTAAAATGGATGGCTTCTTATCCTACAACAAAACCTGCTAGTCCTCCCGGCACCATTAGAGTGCATGCTGCACATGGCCGGCTCAGGCATGTGTGCATGGCAGGAAATTCCTCTCAGCAGCAGACCGCCTCCAACTTAGACGTTCCCGTGGTACCAGCATCCCAAGACGAGGCCGTGAGTGACTTTGATGTAGCGATGGGTATTGTAATGCAATGGACCTAGAGTTAAAGCCACTGCAATCTGTGACATGCTCCTTCTTGCTAGCCAGCGCCTGCCACCTTTGCATGCACAACCAAGCCATACAAACCCTCAACCACCCTCCTCCCCACCGCTACTCGCCCCAGATCGAGCAGGCCTGCGACGCCCTGGCAGCCCGGCTTTCTGGCAGCTCCAGCACGGGCTTTGCCGGGCTGAACCGCATCCGCCTGTCCCTGGAGATCCCCCTGGCGGACACCAGCCCCTCGGCCCAGGGTGCCCTGGTGTCGGCCCTGATCTCGGGGCTGACGCGGCGGGGGCTGCCCCGCCCCACGCCCGTGGGGTGCAGCAGCTCCACGGCCAGCCTCTCCCGTGGCTTGACCCTGGAGGGGGCCCTGAAGCGGCCCGGCAAGGGCCCGGTGCTCATCGTGGCGCCCTCCGCTGCCCAGGCCGGCCAGGTGGCGAGGCTGCTGCACGCCTGGGGAGGGGGCCCTGTGCTCATGCTCAACGCGGAGTGGGAGATGGAGGGAGGGGGGTCATCGAGCCCGGAGACGAGGCAGGACCTCAGGTTTGACGCTGTCTACGTCTTCATGCCGCTCAACATCAAGGTGCGACAGCGCCTCCCCTGCTAGAGACGTGAGCCTTTCCTTGATTGGCCTACTTTCTAGTCTCCACCTGGGCATGAGCGCATGTGACTGTTGTCCATGACGCCTTCAATCACCCTCGCCCACCCCTCGCACCACAGGCCTTGGTCACCCGGAAGGACGGCATCGTCATGCGCAGTGCGGGCAGAGCGGGTGCCCCGTGGAGGATCCTCCTGCTCGCCAAGGGGAAGTGGGAGCCCATAGCCAGCATGGCGCAGCGCCCAACCTCCTGTGAGTTTGCCTGGCCCTTGGATGGTTTGATTTGTGGGATCGTGTGGATGTGGTGGATCTGGCCAGGTGCAGGCCATGGTGTTGGGCCCTGGCATGCCTGCTGACATGGAGGCGGGTGGCCAGACCGCAAAGCACTGCTCGATTGTGTCTCAACCATTCTACCACCATGCTGCAGCGGACATTGAGACGTCGCTCTACAACTACACGGCAGCCACGAGCCCGTTGACCAAGGGCATCTCGGCTGTGCGGAACCTTTTCAACAAGAGGCAATGACGCTGAGGCTGTTCAGCGGATACTGTGAACACGGAGCTTGCACACGGGTTCCATGCCTGACCTCCATGGCCCACCCTTCAAGCCTCGCAGGATCTTGCCACTTTGTATCGGAGTAATTACATCAGGACACATAGAAAAAGGGCAGGGAACAGGATGTCGATAGTATTACACACTCCACCTCAAACGTAATGGTGAGGGTCGAGGGATCCCCCCCATCAAGCTGGCGCCTCTCACTCAGTGATGATGTCAGTGACTGGTTTACCCAGGAGGCATGTGAAAAGGCGAAGGTTTCTCAGCCTCAGCCTGCCCGTCACCTGCGGACCGGCCTGCCGGGCCGCCTCCCGTCCTTGCCCTTCTTCTGCTTGGGCGCAAACACCACGTCCATCAGGTCGTCGTTCTTTACCGCGTCGCGTGCCCCCAGCAGCCCCTGGAACTCCGACCTGTACCGCGCCGCGCCCGACTGGGTCCTCCTCGAGCCGCCTTGGGGACCTGTGGGTGGCGGGTCGGGGGCTGGAGAGGGTGGCGGGTCGGGGGCTGGAGAGGGTGGCGGTCGGGGGCTGGAGAGAGTGGCGGGCTGGGCCCTGTGAGGCACGAGCCGGGCAGAGATGGCCCCGCCCGTTCATTGGGATCTGCAGCTGCCCATGGGGACACAGCTGTTTTAACGCCCAGCAGCTTCAGTCCAGCCCCGCAGCCTGCCTGCGGCGCCCTCCCTCGCCACACTCACCACCACGATGCCTGCCGTCTCCCCTGTCCTGGTTGAGCGTGGGGATGTTGATGCGGAAGACCTTGATCGCCAGGTAGGCTCCGAGTACCAGGGTTCCGATTGTCACCAAGAACTGCGCACCGTGGAGAAAAATGCATGGCATCTCCATGGATTCAATGCCTTGTGGAAGGTGAAGGTGAGATGAGCCTTCCCGGCCGATGCATGCCTGCGACAAGATTGCCGCCCCAGCGTCTGACAGAGACGCTCCCTACTACAAAACAGCCTGTGCAGAGTCCGCTTCATCGTTGCAACTTGATAAGAGTGCAAGCACCCCTCCTGTGCCCAGCCCCGTCTCACGGAGAGGATGCTCCTGGCAAAGCCGAGGAGCACGATGATCAGGCCGGCATTCACAGCCGTCTTCACGACGCCCGGCGAGACGTCCTGGGGCGCAAGCTGTACCGCCGTGGCGGTGATGCGGTCGGCAAGGGTGCCCAGCAGGCGCAGCGCGGCCCCTGGCAGAGCACCCAAACCAGATGTCACGTTGGTGCCCTGGGGTGGTTGGGTTGGGGTCCAGAGACTGGCTGGATGGGGCACAGGCCATCCAGCCTGCGGCTGGAGGCAACAACACATAAATCACCATCAGATGGGCAGAAATGGGTCAAGAACACATCCAGATCGTGAAATTGACACCCTGTTGCCAGACTCGGATCCACACTGTTCCCTTGACCTCGCACTCACCCCCTCCTCCCAATCCTCCTCTCCATCAAAGATCACACGGTCCTCCAGCGGTTCATCCCTCTCCCTCCAGGCTCTCAGGTCAACGGGAGCACGCCTCGAGGGAGCAGCAGGGACGAAGGCTGCCAGGGATAGGAAGGCACAGACAAACTGGGAGATGAGTTGCAGGCAGGGGAAACTGCAGTGCATCCCGATCGAGTCGCAAGCACAACATGCATTAGGTCGTAGATACACTCACGTCTCCATCTAGAGGTGAGCCGACGACATGGGGATGCGAGGTGCGAGTCTCGCGACAGAACTAGGGCTGTGCTGGTGAGCGCTAAGGCCCGAGCGACCATCTCCTGCTTTATAACCTCCTTTAATTTCTTATTTCAAAGGGAACAGACAAGAATGTGTAAATGAAAAGGGAGGTAGATTGAGGTCCAACAGCACAGAGCAGGTGAAATATCCGCGAGGTAACAGGACTTGTTCGAAACAGTTGATCGGGAAATGGTGGGAAGCTCCACCAGATAGTCTCCTCTTGCCACCTGATGAATTCTGTGCTGTGCGTTTCAACAAGGGTTACACTTTCCCGTAACAGATTGTCGATGGCGTACAAGAAGGTGGATAGGCCTCCCATGTTTTCCCTAAGGCTACAGGCACCCCTTCAAAATTGGATATCAACGAGATCTAGAGCATCAGACACCAGAGTCGTCTTTTTTTTACGCTTGGCCTTCCTCCTTCCCCAGCATGCTCGAAACAGTGCTATGCATCTTGATCACGCTGTCTTCAAGCCGCTGCAGCATGAGAGAGAGGTTACCATAGGCTGGGCTCCTCCTCTTGATGTTCATCATGCAGTCTCAGCCAGATTACTTGGCCTGAATATCTGCACCATACAGATCAGGACCTCGGCAGTACTCCGCCAACCCACCGTAACAGTGGAGGCAACAAGCTCTTGGACGGCTATACACTCTGCTTGGGTAGCCTGCAATCGCACGCCAAATTGTGAATGCCAGGCAGCCAACTCCTGGTGGAGGTCGTGGTTGGCTGGGTTGAGTCAAAGGTCAGAGTGGTAGGTCATTCTGTGTTTGGGGACGATGCAAGTCATGTTTTGCACCCTTCCGCACCAGCTTCAAGTCATGGGCGGCATCCAGATTCTCAGGTGGGCATGGGCCCAGGTCCTGCGAGACACAGAGAGAAGCATCCTGGTAACGGTCTCAGTGTCAGACGGTATCATTTTCTAGGTATGCAGCATGGAACGTACCATGGAAGTGCTGGTCTGGCTCATGGCCGCGAGTAGCCCCTGCACGAGCTCCCTCCCCCAAGTCAAGCGTTGGGCCCTGCACACGGCGACACGGATGGTCGTACTCGTTTATTCGGATCTTTGGATATCCAAAATATACCATATCGTCTGTGCAGCTGAATTGCAGCCAGCTAAACTGCATCTGGCCGAGGAGAAATCGTACTCGTGTGTGTAACTGGCGCACTTTCCTCGAGCTGGACCCAGCCCGGCACCACCGACAGAGTGACATCACGACTTGCGAGCCGCTCAACCCATTCCAGATCGCTACCGGTACAGGTTATATTGAGAAGGAAGGGTGCGTGCGTCCCAAAGGGAGGAGAGCTCCCTCCGAATCCCCACACTTTCATTTCTTAGGGGAGGCAACCCCACCCTACAGTCTCCCAACCGAGCGCGGGTGTCGGCGGTCATGCTGACGCTTGCAAGGGCCCATAGGGTGGTATCCAGTAGGCTCGCCCTCCAGTCTCTGGCCACTCGGTGCAAGACCACCACGGGCATCGTGGGGTTGCCCGTGGACGAAGATGCCCGCACGACCCTGGGGGAGCACTACGCAAAAGTGCTGGAGGCCATCACAGTCATCCCAGAGTCTGCTGTCTACCGCCAGTCGGTGGAGAAGACCGTGAAGCACCGCCTGGCAGCCCTTCAGACAGGTGCTGAGGACGAGGAGCTGGAGCAGCAGTTTGGCAGGCAATTGGAGGAGGAAATCAAGATCATGAAGGACGAGCTCAAGCTCATCCCGAAGATGGCAGGTGAGGCTGGACTTGTGGATGAGTTGCTGCAGACTGGGCGGCTGGGTGGATGGAGCAATTGTGCCTAGTGGGATTAGCACTGCCTGTGGTTTGTGGATGTGTACGTCATCCTCAGACGTGCACTGTTTACTGAGGTCGCGCCCATTCTCTCGATTGCAGAGTGGCGCCCATGGGAGGTCCCCGAAGACTACAAGGTGGGGGCACTGTGGGTATGTTAAAAGAAGTGAGGTGTCCAGGCAGTGTATGGAGGCACCTTGTATCATTATCATCCATCACCATGCTGTGGTGTCTTTTATGGTTGCCTCAGGGACCCATTCCCTGTTCTTTGAGTGCAGATCAAGGTTATGGAGGAGAAGGACATCCAAGAAGCCTTGGGTGCAGCTAAATGAACAGCGTGACCTCTGCGGCTTCCATGAGGCGCCTTTGCCACTGGGGAGTTCTCTGCAAAGCTGGAGAGACTGTTGAAGGAGCTGTCCCCTGGCGAGTCTTGTTCCCATTCGTTCAGGGAGCAGGGATGGAATTCTATTTGTAGAATAAAGAAAGTCAGGCTTGGATTTCGAGAGGGACAGGTGCCATGCAAAAAGTACGTCCGGGAGCCTGGTTGGCAGAGTGTGATTTCCGCAGCACCTTGCGCCCTCGTCTGTTGAAAATCCAGAATACTAAATTAAAGCAACTCGTTTTCGAAGCTCCTACTGGGATGAGAGAGGCCCATGCCCCTTGCGGAGGCTTTGCCGACCCAAATTCCCCCTGAAACCCCATTCCGCCATGTAGTCCCTCGTACCACCGATGGGTCATGTAACGCGGCGTAAATTCCTTTGAAATGAATGTGCGACAGGAAAAGGGCTTGAGCGGCCTGTGGGTGGGCATGTGGAGAGCCTCCTCCCAGTCCACCCTGCTCCTCTTCGTCCTCCCCATGGACCAGCAGTTCGTCTTCCTCGTCGGCAGCGCGCCCCACCGTCGGAGCATTCTGTCTGGAATAGCGCAGCGACCCGCCTCGCCCTGTCCGGGACAGCGGGTCCAGGCCTTCGAGGTTGGCTGGCAGGGGCTGGTAGGCATGCAGTACTCAAACCCCCTCTGCAGTCCGGGGCGACTGGTGCTGGAGGCCCGTGGCACCCGGCGGAGGACCTTCAAATCGGTACGAGTACTGTCGGACGGGCATCTAGGCTGCCTCAGGGGCGTGCTGCACACCAAGGAATATGAGCTTGCGGTGTGCTTGCTAAACACACAGGTTGCCTTGCCACAGACTCCGAGTGTGTCCAGCCGGGAGTTCAACTCATATAAATCCACTCCTGACATCCACATGGCAGATGGCATCGGCTCGCCAGTTCTATGGTTTCACCGCATCAGACGCAGTGCCGTCGTCTGGAGGCCTCAGGGTGCCAGAGCAGTCCACAGCCCCGGCGCAGGCCTGTCCGGGCACTCCGCTGGTCTGCAATGGCGGGCTTACACCCCTAGCCGTCATCCGCACTGGGCCACAGAGCGACCTGTTCCCCTGCAACGCCGGGGACGATGACCTTCCGGGAGTGGCCACCCAGGAGTCCTCGCTGAACCCTGCGCCGCCGAGCCCGGAGCACCGGTGGCCACCCGCAGCCTCCTGGACCACGCTGGAGCAGGTGTGGACGGGTGGGTTGGCAAGTGTCTGATTGCATGGCGGCAGAAGGGATGGGGCTTATGGATCAATTGTCTGTCCAGCCCCCAGATGTTGGTTTTTGGATCACTGCAACCTGGAGTGGCAGCCGCAAACGCCGCCACTCTGTCCCCCGGTCCCGCCCCAGGAGTATGCGTATCGCACCATCTCCATCTCCTTTGAGGAGGAAACGCTTCCAGGCGTGCTTTCCTCGGTGATCATGTCCGAGGACCGCCTGCTGCGCCTGTATGAGTCGGGCCTGCCGGGCTGGGCGGTGCTCCTCCCCCGCCTGGGCATCTACTACCGGCCCTGGGTCAGACGCGTCACCTGGATCCTGTTCTACATCTTCTCCATTGTGTCCCTGGCAGCCGGCTTCTACGACCTCTACCGCAACCTGCCGGGTGTTCAGGTGAGGATGGTGCCTTGGAAGGGGGGGGGGTCCAGGCTCTCTTCCTCGACATGCACAACGAGATAAACCCTCTGAACCCGGACCCCTTCCCGGCATCCCCCTCCAGGCACTGTTCAACATGGTGGTGGCACGCTTCTGGGGGCCCTCAGTCCTCTTCCGGTGGCTGGAAGCACATGCCCAGGTAGGGAGCCGGCGCAGGGGCTCGGTGGTGTGGGACCTTTGGCCTTCTCAGCGCTGCTGAAACATGCACCCAGCCCCCCTCCCCACTCCCCTGCCTGCCCATCAGGTGCGGCTGTCCCTGCTGCTCACCTTCTTGCTTGGAAAGAGCGAGTGGCTGGTGGTGGGCGTGCGGCTGCTGCGCACGGCGGGCAGGGCGCTTTCCACCCTGCTGGGCCCCCACATGGCCGGCCTGTGGGGTGGGGCGTGCGCCCTGGCAGGTGCGTTCACACCCGCCCTGTCGGCCGCTCGGCAGTTGCTGGACCTCGCTGTCATGCCCCTCACGCTGGTGGGTGTCTCGCAAGGGGTGTTACTGGTGCCCAGGGACTGAATCTCTCTGAGGGATTCTCGAGTCTGTGCAGTCCACAGCTTCTTGTGCCCTCTCGTCAGGAAGGGGGGTGTCGCGAGACAGCTGCCTGTTTTGCAGGCATGTGTGCAGCCTGGCAGCTGCATCCCAACAGGCTGTACGCCGTCGCCATCAGAAAGCCCCCCTCGCTCCCCATGTCCCATGCGCCCCCTCCCCATCGTCCACACTTCAACCCCCCCCACCCTCCACCTCGTCCCCGCGACACGGTTGCCAGGCGCTCCAGACCCTGCTCCTGGCCCCCCTCGCCTGGCTGCTGGGCCTGGCGCGCAGCGTGCGCAGCGTGACGGGGGCCGCCCTGAGCCTCGGCGCCGCACTCCTCCGCGCCTCGACCCGGCTGGGCTGGAGCCCGGGCGCCGCCGCGGCGGGCGCCGCGACGGGCCCGGGCCTGGCGGGCCTGGCGGCGGAGGTGAGCCTGGCGCTGCGCACCTCGGCGCTGACCACCGCCTCGCGCGCCGCGCACGCCGTGCTGCGCTTCATCCTGCACCTGGGGGAGCTGGCGGTGCGGCACCGCCACACACTGCGCCTGCGGGCCGCGAGAGCGGTGAGCGGCGTGCGGGCCCAGGTCGCCGCGGCGGCGGCGCCGGGCCGCCGGGCGGGCGGGGGTGCGCCGCCAGGGCGGTGTGCTCCCGTGAGTTCCAGCGCCAGGAGCGCCGAGGCGCGTGCGGTCGACGACGACACGAAGCCCTTGCTTCTGGGTGGCCAGGCGCAATGTGGCTGCACGCTCCACGGGCACGAGGAGTGAGGGGATGTTGCAGCGAGCTGCCCGGGAGCCCAGGAGCCGGTTTCTGTCAAACCAAGAGGCACTGCAGTACACCTCCATCTCATGCTTTGGCCACCCTTTCCTGACCCCATCTACCATTAACCGAGCAAGTGTGACGACCGCGAGGCACGCAGCGCCTGCTTGCTGTCTTGCCGATACCCTCACACATACATGCACTGACTGACGACCATTTGACCGACCAACCGACTGCACCCCGTCCTGACCGATCGATTTGCATACGTCCCTGAACTCCCACGCATGTATCGAGAAACGAAGATCCACAGGACGGAAAACTTTGACAACAACCACTCAGGATATGGGCCAAGTGGGTATTGTAAAGGCAGCTCACTTGGCAGCCGCCTTGATGATGTCCTCGAACTCGGGCTTCAGGGACGCTCCACCCACCTGCCAGCACGGGGGCAGCCACCCGGTTAGTGCGCCGTCTGGATCATGCGTCTGGGAGCACTCCCCCACCCACAGCACATCCAGTCAAATTCCCTTTGCTCCCACCCCCTCCCCGCAACACACACACAAACAACACACTCCAACCCCACCAGGAAGCCGTCAATGTCGGCCGCGCCCGCCAGGTCCTTGGAGTTGCTGGCGGTGACGGAGCCGCCGTAGATGATGCGCGTGGCCTCCGCCGCGTCCTTGCCCACCTTCTCGGCCAGCCAGGCGCGAATCTCGGCGTGAGCCTGCTGCGCCTGCTCGGGGGAGGCCACCTTGCCCGTGCCGATGGCCCACACCGGCTCGTAGGCCACCACAATCTTGCTCCAGTCGGAGATCTTGTCGGCCAGGGCCTGGCGAGGAGTGGGGGTCAGGGATGTGGATGGCGAATGGTGGGTGTGGATGGGGGTCCATGATTAGGGAGATGAGCGTTGGACAAACCTCCTTTGAGAAGTGTGTGTGTGGGGAATGAGCATCGACTGCAGCCTCTGGGATGTTTGAGGCCCGATGCACTGTGCGCCAGTGATCATCCCATGTATGTCCGAAGTACCAGCCGCTATGGCCTACAGCATTCCACACGCCCATAGACAGACATTGGTAGCAATGCCGAATTTCCTACCCTGACACCTGCCAGTCTGCCCATACCAGCAGGACCCCGGCATCCCTCACCTGCAGCTGCCGGGCGTTCACCTCCTGCGTCTGGTTGGCCTCGCGCTCCTCCAGCTTCTCGCCGATGCAGAAGATGACGGAGAGGCCCTTGGACAGCGCATAGGCCACCTTGTCGGCGGTGAGCTCGTCCGACTCCTTCACGATGTGCCGGCGCTCGGAGTGCCCCAGGATGACCCACTCCAGCCCCAGGTCGGCGATCTGGTCGGCCGTGATCTCGCCGGTGTAGGCGCCATTGCCCTTGACCCAGGAGTTCTGGGCAGCCACCTTGAACTCGGGGCGGAGGGCATCCACGACGGCGGGGATGTGCAGGAAGGTGGGTGCCACCACGACATCTTTCAGAGGGGGGTGGGGGTAGGGGATGCCTGGGTTGGGACACAGACTTTGGCTCTGGCGCGACCCATCATGAGTGGAACTCGAGACAGGAGCATAAATGCCAAGTATCATTCAGAAGCCCGCCCATGGCGACGGATGGGTGCGCACGACTCACCCACGACCTCGGGGCCGGGCACCTTGAAGCTGTTCAGGCTCTCGACCAGAGCCTTCACGCTCTTCACCGTTCCATTCTGTTGATAGATTGAGAGGGTTGGGATGAGTTAGGGTGCTGATTTTATTCCAGGGCAGCGGTCCTATGAGCATGATCCAGCCCGGCTACGCGACCCTGTTCAGCAGGGCCCCGGCACAGCCTCATGCCAAACGGACACTCGGTGCTCCGATCAACTCACGGACTTCCAGTTACCACCTGAGAATAATCAATGGGCAAGAAGAGGTGATCATGCGATGGGCACCCAGCTTCGTTGTCAGGAGGACGGCAAGCGGCTCAGAAAACCCAAGACCCTTGCCTACCGACGAAGAACTTGCGCGCCATGTTGTCAGAAGGTCTGGTAGATGGCGAATTTGAGCTGAATGGAATGGTGTGAGAAGGGGTCGTGGCACGTCCCCAGGTGGATTTTTAGCAGGTTCCAACACTTGTGCTGACGAAAGAAATGAGGGAGAAACCCCTCTGCCGAGCTCCCATCGAATCAGGTCAGTGCTGCTGGAGGAACACCCAATCGGATCAATTGTTTCTCGACGTATTGATTGTGTATAGAGTTGATAGTTGAATATATATCGTGAGCACATATGCAAGCTGGAGCAGGTTCAAGGGAAAGAACACTCTCCCACGCAATTCTCAATCATGCAGTCTACGTCACGACTCCTTTAAACATGCATTTTATACGAGAACATCGAGAAACACAACATTACAGTCCCATTCAGTCTACTGTTGTTTCGGCCAATCTTTTCATCCTGCCCTTCCGTTTAACATTTGCGCCTCAAGATGCATCGGGCACTACCCCGTGGGGTGGCGGGCCGATGCAAGGAAGTCAACGTCGCGAACAGCTGCTGCAATCCTCGCCATTGGGCTATATACTTTTGCATTATAAACTCAATCTGGGCAGCGGGATACTCCAGCCCTCTGGTGTGTCGGATGGACTGTGCTGCAGGGGTCGAGCGGAAGTTACAGTCCACGGGTTGTGGCTACTCCTCACGAGCCAGCCAGCTCTATGACCTGGACACCACCTCGGCCGCGTCCAGTGGAGACCTGCTCCTGGACTTCAAGCCGGTGACCAGTGAGGCTGATCTTCAGAGCAGTCGCAGCCCCTCCCAGGCTCGCCAGCTAGGGCTTTCGCCGGCGCTGGGCCGGGAGGGATCCACCTGGAGCACCGAGGCCTCCCGGGCGCTTTACAACGTCGATGGATGGGGTTGTGGCTATGTCGACATTGCCGAGGAGGGGAACCTGGCCATCCGCCCTTTGGGAGGTGGGCGTGGAGGGCAGCCCTACGGCCAGGGGGAACATGAATTTGTGTGAGAGTTGGCTGAAATGGGACCGTGCTGGCTCTGCTGAATGAAGACAAGTCCAGGGTTTGCAGTTTGAGACCCAGCCCCAGTGCGTCTGACTGCTTTGTTACATAGAGGGGCACTCCTGCCGCTGCAGAGGATGGCCCGGCGGTGGACTTGCCGCAGCTTGTGGAACACCTGAAGGAGCGCGGCCTGCTGCCTCCCCTCCTCCTCCGCTTCCCGTCCATTGCATGCCACCGCCTGGAGAAACTGAGGGTGCGACGGCGGTTGAGAGGCCTGAATCCCGATGCTGAGGGTGGTCTTGTGGATTGAATCGTGTTGTTCACCACAACCGTGGGTGGAGTGAGTAGTGGGAGCACAACGCTACTCATCAGTGTCATTACTTCATGAGCTTCCTCAACCATCTGCATTCTACACGCCATTCCACGCCTCCCAGGACGCTTTCAGAGCTGCCATCGAACGCTTCGAGTATCAGGTGCGAGAGTCTTGGGAGGAACGGGGCCGGTCTGTCCATCTAGCACTACGAAGCTGGTTTGCAGCATCCAGGAGGATGAGTGAAGGGGATTCCCTTGGTTCTCTCTGTCCAACGTGTATCAACCAGGTTCTATACACGCATCGAGTTCACGCCTTTGCCCCCATCCTCCACGCTGCCAGGGATGCTTCAGGTCCGTGTTTCCTGTAAAATCCAACCCGGACCGCCTGCTCCTTCAAGGCATGCTCGACTACAGTGAGTGGCGCACGGCTGTTTGGGCGTGTGTGCGGGTGCAGACTGCTGTTCACTGCCAGCATCTGCCGGTGCTGGGTGGCCTTGCATGGTTGGGCACCTCCTGCCAGGAGTATGATGTTTGTACTCGAGCCCTCCTCCCATTGCTTGCCCTTGCTCTCGCATGCTTTCCCATGCCCCCACAATTCCATCCCCCCCCCCTTCGAAAGGTTGGTCCCATGAACACGGGCATGGGCTGGGCCTGGAGGTGGGCTCCAAGGCCGAGCTGACCATGGCCCTGAGCATGATCCCCCTCCCGGCAAGCCCCGCCTTCAACCTCATCTGCAACGGGTGCAAGGACGCCGAGTATATGGAGCTGGTGTGTGGTGCCGTGAGGCAGGCTGCGGTTCAGCGGCCTGCATGGTGCCACTGGTGGTACAGGGCGCAGTGCATTGAAAAATGAAGCCCTGAACAAGGTCTCAGTTCAAGCATCCCACCCCCCTCCGCCCAACCCCCCAGGCCATGCACGCCGGCGAGCTGGGAGTGAACGCCGTGGTGGTGATGGAGCAGTACAGCGAGGTACGCCTGGCGCTGCGCGTCGCCGCCAAGCTGGGGGTCAGGCCCCGGCTGGGGGTTCGGGCCAAGCTGGCCACGCGGCACTCGGGCCACTGGGGTAGCACCTCAGGTGTGCCAGGTCGCTGGCGCGCCGCCGGGAAGGTTGATGGGGGGGATCTGTGCCCTGGTCGACGGCCGCACGCTCATGTGCAGTGGTCTGCAGCGGTGCTTTCCTTCTGCCCTCCCTGTCCACGACCCCGTCCAATACCCAACCCACCTCCATGAAAGGGGACGGCGCCAAGTTTGGCCTGCGCGCCCGCGAGATCGTGGCCGCTGTCGGGGAGCTGGCCGCAGCGGGCATGCTGGACTGCCTGGTGCTCCTCCACTTCCACGTGGGCTCCCAGATCACCAACATCCGCATGGTTAAAGAGGTCATGCGGGAGGCGTCTTTCCTCTACGCTGAACTGGTCAAGGCACGTGCGGGAAATGAGGTGGAGGGGAAAGGCAGGTGCGCATGTGGGTGAGGGGACCCATGACACCCGCGCTGGGCAAGGGTTCACGCATGGTGTTGGTGAGCCAACAATTGCCGAGCATGAGTTGCTCCTCAGGACACTGTAGGACAAAGTGAGTGCATGCAGAGGCAAACTCACACTCCATCTCACTTGGTGATGTCTAGGATGCCCCCCTGGATCTTCCGATGTACTGCCTGCCTGCCCCCGTCAACCCACCCCCGACCCATTTCCCTTGCCCGCTCGCAGATGGGCGCGGGGCTGCGCTTCCTGGACGTCGGTGGTGGGCTGGCCGTGGACTACGACGGCTCCTTCACCGACTCCGCGGCCTCCATGGCCTACAGCCTGCAGAGCTACGCCAACGACATCGTATCGGCCATGCAGGCGGGTGGAAGCAGGGAAATGGGGTTGGCAGGGGGTTCCATAACACATGCTCTAGAGGTCCCTGGTCGCCGGCGTCGTCGTGGGCGGCCTGGTCTTGCCCCCGCCTGCATCTCCTGCTTCCTCCCCATCCCTTCCGGACATTATCACCTGAGCCACCTCCCCCTTCCTTGCCCCAAACACAAGCAGGAGGTGTGCGTGCACCGCGGCATCCCGCCCCCCACCCTGATCTCCGAGTCGGGCCGGGCTGTGGCCTCCCACGCCACGGTGGTGGTGTTCGACGTGGTCAACCACCCTGTCCGCTGCGAGGAGCTGCGGGAGGAGGAGGAGGAGGTGGTTGACAGCGTGGAGTTCAGCCTAGACAGGCCGCTGACCAAGCAGCTGAAGGCCGCCGCCAGCCGGGGCAAGGGGCGGTACCTACTGACCACCTTCAAGGAGGTGTTTGACAACATTACCGCGGGTGCGGGTGGTTTTCTTGGAGGAGGACATGTGTGCGTGTTTGTGTGAAAAGGGGGGTTTGAACCACGCTTGCCATGACCCCTGCACTCGTGCCTGAGCGCCCTGGATGCCCACCAACATGGGAACATGCATCCATCCTTGTTGATTCGAGAACCAAGCTCCGAATTGCTTTGTGGAAGAGCACACACCAAAACCTCAACTCTAGACGGCGAGCAAACCCAACAAACCCCTCCCGCCCTCCACTACCCAAACCACTCTCCCCACACAGACGCCTTCTCTCTGCGCGAGTCCTACTCCGACGCCTGCTACTTCAAGGAGGACGCGCTGCGCGCCTTCAAGCTGGGCGTGCTGAGCCTGGTGGAGCGCGCGCGCGTGGACGTCATGTTTGACGCCACCTGCGACCGCATCCGCACTCTGGCGGGGGAGCACTCGCTGCCGCTGCCGGACGCGCTGCAACCCACCGCGGTGCCCGGGGTGCGCCTCTACCACGTGAACCTCTCCGTCTTCCAGTCGGCGGTGGACGCGTGGGGCATCGGCCAGCTGTTCCCCGTCATGCCCCTGGCCCGGCTGGGTGAGGAGCCGCGGGTGCAGGCCACCCTGGGCGACATCACCTGCGACTCTGACGGCCGCCTGGACCGGTTTGCGGGGCCGGGGGGCCTGGGCGCCGCGGGCGCGTTGCCCCTGCACGACCTGCGCGAGGGCGAACCCTACCGCCTGGCCATGTTCCTCACCGGGGTCTACCAGGAGGTCATGGGCTCCGTGCACAACATGTACGGCCGGCTGAACACCGCCGTGGTCTGGGCGGAGCCAGGTCGGTGGTTTTGGTTTCTTGGGGGGGGAAGGGTGGTTGGGCTGGGGCGCAGGCATGCGTTGACAGGAGGCAGCCCCTGCACTCTCTCATCAGCCACCCACATTCGATGTGCATTAGACCACCGACCCTTCCAACCCGCACCGCACTGCATGCAGGGAGGGCGGGGGTGCAGCTCGTGCACGTGCGTCGAGGGGAGAGTGTCGGGGAGGTGCTGGTGCACCCGGGCTACGACCCGGCCACCATGATCCAGAGGTGGGGCGTCGGGTTGGCACAAGGACGGAGTGTGAAAGGATCCGCGGTGAAGGGGTGCTGCACTGAGTGGTGTGGCTGGTACTGCCTTTCAAGTGCTGGATCGACCTGAAGACCTGGGAGCCTCCTGGTGAGAGAACGAGTCAGATGGCAGCACCCCCACCCCTGCCCGGCTTGGTGCAGAGTGCACGAGGCCACCATGCTCAGGGTCAACGCGGGGAACCTGCCCATGCGACGAGCGGAGGTCATCATGCAGTGCTACCGAGAGCGCATGGCGGGGTACACGTGAGTGCCAGGAGGATGACTAGGAGGGTGATTTTGAATGGCGGGCTGGCATGTGCATAGGGGGTGCACCCACTGCCAGATAAAAAGTAATGCCCAGTGATACCTCCTCCACTCCACACACAGATACATGCGCTAGACTCTCACAATCATATGACCGTGATGGTCGCGCGCAACTCAAGCCGGCTATAACGTGCACCAGCAGAAACGCATTCCCCCCTTGCGACCACCACTTCTCCGACGTACACCAGGGAGTGCAAACACATCCCTCGCCAGATTTATCTCAGCATGGCGCTGGTTGCCTTCTGTAAAAACTGATAATCTAAATCTGGAGTTTGTGAGTGGCCTCGACCTGTTCTTGAACTCCGCCGCTGGGAGGGAGTGGTGTGCTGCTGCCCAAACCTAATAGATTCTCCGTCAAAATATGGCGGGACCGGGGCGATCCAAAATCTCCGACACAGATTTCGCACCTTCCGTGGCGCTTCACCCGCGTGCTCTCGCTGGGTCTCGCAGAATAACGTGGGCGACAAACACACCTGCCAAAAGAATTATAAGAATTAATAAATTAAAGGGATTACTGACTGTCATCGCCCGTCACCCCGTGGTGAGGTACCCGAGTCGAAGCTGAACCCCGTCATCCCGGCGGCTGCGCAAGGTACGGATGCGAGGATGGGGGGCCCGGATCTATAAATCTTGCCCGTATTCGCAGTGCATGTCGGCACCACACGGGCTCGCACCATCTGCCGTGGGGATCACGGGCCCGCGGCCTTTGGTTGACGTAAGCGGTTTCTTTGCTGAGTCAGACTAACGTTCACGAAGTGCGGCTGCGAGGTATACGTCTCACGAGCCCCTGTACGGCCACAAAACCTCCACTCAGGGGAAACAACTTCGAGTTGTCACATTTATCTACCCTCCCGACAGAGTAATCATGGCCGGAGGAGGCATGGTGGCCGTGGGTGCGGAGCACCTCCACGCTGAGGCGTATGGAGGCCGCCTCACCGGCTACGTCATCTTTGTTGCAATCCTGTCGGCATGTGGAGGCCTGCTGTTCGGTGAGTGATGCCTCGGGGGCCCCGGTTTGCTCGTGGAGGTTTCCGGGACTTGCTTCCGACTCCCGACGACATCCAGTTCGAATCTCCGCCCACCCCCTCGCCCACCCCCCGCCCGCGCAGGCTACGATATCGTAAGTGTGCAGCTGTCGGATTCCGTGGCATGCGGATCGGTGCACTGTCGTCTCGGGCGGTCCTGGCATCCGTTGGGCGGGTCACGGGATCATCCGACAGGATGTGGCCGTCACTGCGTGGGGAACCTACGCCGCGGGGCGGGGTCACGCACTGCATCTTCACTCCACCATCGTGGGGCCCCCACTCCATGCAGCACACATGCCTCTCATCTCACTCATTTCCCCCTCTTACCCAGGGTGTCACCGGTGGTGTGACCGCCATGGCCGGCTTCCAGCAGAAGTTCTTCCCCGACGTGTATGAGCGTACCGTTCTGGGCATTTCCGACACAAGCCCCTACTGCAAGTGAGTCGGTGGAATTCGTTGTCAAGCTGTTGCAAGTCCTCCCTCTCTGCTGTGCACACCATCCCTCCCACACCCAGCTCATGCCGGCTAACCCTCCTCCAACCCCCTTATAGGTACGACAACCAGGTGCTGCAGACCTTCACCTCCACCATGTTCCTGGCTGGCATGTTCTCCTCCTTCTTTGCGGGCACCATGTGCCGCAAGCTGGGGCGCAAGGCCACCATGTTCACCTCCGCCTGCCTGTTCATCCTGGGCGCGGGCCTGCAGGCCGGCGCCCAGAACCTGGCCATGCTCTTTGTGGGCCGCGCCTTCCTGGGATTCGGCATCGGCTTCGCCAACACCGTGGTCCCCCTGTACCTCTCCGAGGTCGCGCCCTTCAACTTCCGTGGCGGCCTGAACATGCTGTTCCAGCTTTTCACCACCATCGGCATCCTCATCGCCGGCCTGGTCAATTATGGGGTCCAGGACTGGTGGGCAGGCTGGCGCCTGTCCCTGGGCCTGGCCGCCGCGTTTGCCCTCGGCCTCCTGGTCGGCTCCATCGTGCTGCCTGAGTCCCCCAACTCGCTCATCGAGCGTGGGCAGGTGGAGAAGGGGCGTGCCGTGCTGGAGCGCCTGCGTGGCACCAAGGACGTGGAGGCGGAGATGGAGGACATCCTGGAGGCCACGGAGCTGGCCAGCCTCGTCTCCCTGCGCCAGTCCTACACCATGCTGCTGACCAAGGCCTACCGGCCCCAGCTCATCCTGTCCTGCCTGATCCCCTTCTTCCAGCAGTTCACCGGTGGGTAGAGCGTCCAGCGTGTGGGATGAAGGGTGCAATGGAAGGGGCCTGCCGCACCCCCTCTGGGCATCTAGCTCTGCACCGTAAGCCAGGAAGCCCAAGCCAGGCCCCGTCACACTCCCTCGCTGAAGTGTTCCCCCTTCGCCCCACACTCATCCAGGTATCAACGCCATCATGTTCTACGTCCCCGTCATCTTCAACTCCCTGGGGAGTGGGCGCCGCGCGTCGCTGCTGAACACCATCATCATCAACGCCGTCAACTTTGTGGCCACTTTCCTCTCCATCCTGACCGTGGACCGCCTGGGTCGCCGCTTCTGGTTCCTGGAGGGCGGTGTGCAGATGTTCCTGGCCCAGATCGTGACCGGTGTCGTGCTGGCCGTGCAGTTTGGCAAGTACGAGGACGGCGACCTGCCCACCGCCACCGCCATCGGCGTGCTCATCGTGGTCTGCGTCTTTGTCTCCGCCTTTGCCTGGTCCTGGGGCCCACTGGGCTGGCTGGTGCCTTCGGAGATCCACAACCTGGAGACGCGCGCGGCGGGGATGTCGGTGGCCGTCACCACCAACTTCCTCTTCTCCTTTGTCATCGGCCAGGCCTTCCTCTCCATGCTCTGCGCCATGAAGTGGGGCGTGTTCATCTTCTTTGCCTCCTTCGTGGCCATCATGACCGTCTTCATCTTCTTCATGATGCCCGAGACCAAGGGCATCCCCGTGGAGCGCGTGCCCATCACCTTTGCGCGGCACATGGCCTGGCGCCCCATCATGAGCGCTGAGGTGGCGCAGCAGATCATCGACCGCGACGCGACGCGCACCGCCTCACGCGCCGCCACCAAGGCTGCTCGCGACGCAGACGCAGGGGAGAAGGCCAAGGAGGGGCCCATTGGCGGTACCGCCATCTGAGCGGCGCAGCGGCATTCTGTCGCGTCGCGGCAGAGAGGGCAGGATTCTTCCCTGAGCCTGAAGCCGGCGCGCTACTGCCAGCACGGGCTGGGACGGTTTTATGATTTTCCAAGCGCGACCGGTGAGGATCCTTCCCCTTCTTCCCTGCGACACGCCCCACACGCGCACACACCCCTTCACCTCTCTACTACTAGTATCTAAGAGAGCATGCACGCCCACCGCCGCGTCATTTTGGACGAGTGCAGTCGTGGCCGGCGCGGCTGTGGCCTCTGCGTTTTGCCACCAGTCACTTTAAAAACTCAACTGCCTGGCCGGACGATGGCTTGGGTCTGGCTGGAGTGGCATGTCATCGCCCCACCCCCATCCCCTTCCGCCCCTCCCGCCAGCGCATGAGATTTGAAAAATGGACTCGACCCATGCTCCCAGTTGAACCGCCTGTGTGTGCCCTTGTCTCTTGTTCTGAGCGGTACGAGTCGAGGCGCACTGACCCCCCCCCTACTAGCAAGCCCCTCCGTGCAGGCAGGGCGCCACCCCCGCCCCTGCCTTGCCATGCCAAACTCGACACAGTACGCCTGCCCTGCAAAAACTCATCCCCTGCATGCGCCCGTCTTCCCGCTGTACAGTCGAGCTGGATGATGGGTGACTGAGAGAAGTGGGAACAGTGACTGGGAAGTGTTCAGAGCGGTTTCAGAGTACGTGTGCACCGAGACGCTCGCTTTGTGGGGTGGCGTGACTCGAGTCTCCAACCAAGGCCATGCACGTGACCTTTCTCATGCCGCGTTCACGCAGCTCCGAGAACGTTCTTCGAGTGCGCGCCCATACACAGGAGAAATCCCTTGCACCCAACATCCTTATTGCATGAACCCCGCAGTAGCACCATGTCCAGCGGCACGGCCCACGCCCACGGGGAGCACACCCAGACGTCCGTCCGACACACTCCTGGAGGGGTGTCGGTTTCGGCATCCGCGCACAGCTCGGGAAACGGCCCGATGAGGCACGAAACGACAACTAGTTCGTCTCCACCAGGTGATCCGAGCGTGATCGGGATCGATCAAGGGCGTCATGATCATGGGTCCCACATGTCGCCGGGGAGTGGGTGTGGATTCCTGGAGGTTACTTCAAAGGGGCTGCCCACATCTCCACGGTACAAAATTAATGCAGATTTTCATGGCATGAGTCTGCACGACCTGTGTGCCTGGTTGAGGGAGCGGAACATCGACTACCACACTGCCATCGAGAGGGGTGATCTGGAGGAACTGGCGCGGAACGCGAGCTCTGGCTGAGAGACAATGTCACGCCATGCGCCCTCCCACATATTCTTGATTTTGTAATGTAGAACGAGCTGCCTTGCATGTGTAATCCGTCGGACGCCACCCATGTAATATAACAATCTCCTCCGGGAAGGGGAAATAGCTACTGCTAAGCTCTTGCACGCCCGCACAGCACTGCCCTTTTCAGCTCTGAGACCTTACTGGAATTAACATGATATATAACAACTGCTAAACAGAACACAGCTGCCATTTGGAGTGCTCACCTTCTGGTATCGGCGATGCCCACCTGGCCCGAGTTTCGAACTCCGCTCCACCAGACCACGTCACCTTCTTCGCCCGGAAACTCAACCCGAGGTCCATCCTCGACAACCTCGCAACACGTTACCGTAAATATAGGTTATGTGGAGGCCTGATACCAATTCCTTCTGTTGGCAACGTCTGGCTGTCGGCGGAGGTGTGAGGATGCCAGCCTCACCTTTGTAAGCCTGTGCGCCCGGCCCCTCGGCACCTGAGTGAAGGGGCCGGGGGTACGGCTGCACGCATGACAAGAAGATGGCGCTTAATCGCCGGGATCGGCTCCATCGCCGTCGCCGGTGTGGCGGTGGCGTCGCTGGACAGAGTCAGGGAAGCTCTAGACGGCAGCCGGTCCGAGACTGATCCCGTGAGCAGGCTGCTGCGCCTCCTGATCGTGGGACCGCGATTGCAAGCATGGATCTTGCATGAGTGGCCCTCTGAGATGCTTAGTCTGAACTTGGGATGACCGCCGAGATTAGGCAAAAGTCTTGCTCTCTGCATGCATCCCCAGCTGCCCTGGACCTGCCACGCAAGGCCCCGTCTCACCCCGCAGGCCCCGCCCCGTGCGCGCTGGCTGGAGCGCGGTGGCGCCGCTCTTCACGCGGCTGTGGAAAGGGCGGAACCCGGCCTCGGCATGGCGGCGCGCCTGGCCGGCGCGCTGGACCGGCTGACTGACCCGGGCGCGGCGCCCTCGCGGGCGGGCGCGCTGGCGCTGTCCGCCGCCGGCTCCCGCCCCGTGGCCTGGGCAGTGCGCGAGCTGGCGGACGAGGCCGGCGCCGGGGAGGAGGGACGGCGTGCCCTGGCACGCTACCTAACCCGCGCGGCCGCCGCGCCCGAGCGCCTGAGCCCCCTGCTCCCGCTGCCGGGGGTGCTGCCGGCCCTGCTGCGCCTGGCCGCCGCCGACGCGGGCCTGGCGGCCAGCCTGGGCGCCGCGCTCTCCCCCGGCCGCCTGGCGGAGGCCGCCCCCCCCGCCGACGTCCGCGCCGTGCTCGACTGGCTGGAGGAGGACCCGGGGACCGGGGTCGAATCGCGCGGTCTGGGCGTGGCTGGGGACCCTTCGCTGGCGGCACGGAGCCGGGCAGGCAGCTCCCTCCAGCACGACCCCGCCGCATCATCCGCGTCCACGCTGCTGGCGCTGCGCTGTCTGCGTGGCTGGGCCCAGGCCTCGGTGGTGAACTGCGCGACGCTGGCACGCGCCGGCGCCGGCCCCGTGCTGCCGCGCTTCCTTGCCCTCGCCGCCGGCCAGCCGGAGCGCCAGGAGCTGTGCGGCCTGATGAAGGACCTGGCGCGCGGCTGCCCGCCCAGCGTGCCCCTTGAAGCCGCCGGGTGGCTGCACCCGCAGCTTTGCACGGCGGCCGACGCGGCGGCGGCGGGGGAGGGTGCACTCCTGCACGCATCGCTCACCGCCTTTGCGGCCTGTGTGAGGAGGCGGGGCCCGGGGGACGGTGTGCCGGTGAGGGACTTTAGGATTTTGGATGAGGCCGGAGTGGGGGGAGATGTACAAGTTTTGGGCGGCGTTCCCATGCATGGTGCTGGAAGGGGGCGATAACTGGTTATGCAAGCAAGCAGGGGAACTTGCCGTGCCAGCTCAAGGGCAAATGCTCCACGTGTATTGCACACACCAGTGCCGCCTGCAGAGTCTGTGCCCCGTCGCAACACCGCAATCCTGCTGCCCCCCTGTACCTCCCCCCCGTTACACAACACGTCCCCTGGCCCCATTGCAGCCGGCGCTGCTCAAGGGCACCGTGCTCCCGCTCCTGCACCGCATCTCCGCTGGAGGAAATGAGGGCCCGCGTCGCCCTGTCGCCACGGTGGTGAGGGCGCTGGCCATGACAGGGGCCCTGGACCCCGCCGCCCGCGACGCCTGGGCCGAGACCGTGCTGGGCTGGGCGCGGCACGCCGCGGGCGAGCCGTCGGGAGAGGCCGACGCTGCCACGCTGCGGCGGAGCGCGCGGGCCTGCCAGCCCTTCACGCTGGCGCTGGAGAGTGAGTCGTGACGACGATGGGACGCGTTGTCATGGAGGGAGGAGAGAAGGAGGGCTGCCGCATGCGGCCGGTCGGGGGCCTGAGAGTTGCCTTGTGGTGCGCTCGCCCGGCACCGCAGCCGGGCTTTGTTCGTGATGTGGCTGCTCAGGGTTGGTCCGGCGGTGGTGCAGCAGCCCAGCTGTCTCAAGCAAGCTGGCCCAGGCACCGCCCCGGCGCATCAACCCTCCACACAATCGCCCGCAGGCCTGGTGGAGGCGGGGTGCAGGGCCGGGCTCTACGCCTGGCTGGCCGAGATGGTGGTGGCCCTTTCCTTCGTCGTGCAGCCCTACGGCGAAGAGGCCCTGGCTGCTGTGAAGGGTGACCAGGCAGCTTTGCAGGCGGGGTCCAGGACCGGCGCGTGGCTCGGCGGGTGGCTGCCTGCCTGGGCCGGCGGGCAGGCACTCGCCGTCGAGGCTGGGGCGCCGGGGGCCGGGCTGGCGTCGGGGTCTACGCGAGGGCCGCCCCACGACGCCGAGGGGTCGGCCTCCTCATGGTGGGCCTGGCGGCCGTGGGGTGGCGGTGAGAGCTCGCCGGCGGAAGGCACGCTGGACGCTGCCCCTGGCGCTCTCGACCCTGCAGCGGACAGGCCCGCTCCTGCGCTCGGCACGGACGCCACTCCTCCCTCCGGCCCCGCTCCCGCAGCCCCGCCGGGGGGCCCCAACGACTCCGATCTGGCGCTGTACATCCACGCCGCACCGGTGGGGCCCGCCTTTGCGCGTGCGGTGGCTGGGGAGCTGCTGCCGGGGTCGACCTGGGACCTGCCCCTGGACGCCAGCGAGGACGCGCTGTCCTCGCTGGCGGTGGCGCGTGCGGGGGCGCCGGGCGGCGAGGGCGCCGACGCCGGCCCCAGCGCCGCCGCCGTGGCGCAGACCATCGCGGTGCGGCGGGGGAACAATCATATGGGAGAGCGGGGTGCTGGTGGTCGTTTTGTGTGGGGCGCCTCTCCCGTCCGTGTCATAGTATCACCTTTTAGATATGTAGACTAAGCCCTCTCTGTCCCAGGTGATGACCGCGCTGGCGTCGGACGAGGCGCGGCGCGCGTGGCTGCTACGCATGGGCGTGCTGCGCGCGCTGCGCCTGGTGCTGGCGGCGCAGGAGGGCCCGCCCGCCGACGACGCGGAGGCGGGCTGGACGGCGCCCGGCCTGGCGGGGGGCGGCACGCTGACCCTGGCCCTGGCGCAGCAGGCCGCGCGCCTGCTGTCCCTGCTGGGTACCGACGCCGCCGGCGCGCGCGCGCTGGCGTCCGGCCCCGGCGCGCGCGACCCCGGCGGCTGGGTTGCCTGGCTGCAGTCCTGCGCGGGCGCGGCCGACTGCTCGCTGTCCAGCGCCGCCACCAAGGCGCTGCTGCACGCCGAGTCGGTGCGGGGCGAGGGCCGCGCGGCGCGCAGCCTGCTGCCGGGCCCGGCGGCCGCGGCGGCTGCGCGGCGCGCGGCCGCCACCGACGGCGGCGAGGCGCCCTGGGCCGCGCCGGCGCTGGCGGTGGAGGTGCTGGAGGCGGTGCGCGCAGCGCTGGACGGCGAGGGCGCGGCGGGCGGGGCGGGG